AGTTGATTTTCGGCGACAGCGCGGAGTTTTATTCCTTTTCAAATTTTGATTAGTTTTCTATCAATTTTCAGACTATTTTCTTATAAATAGGGTCCTGAAACTCCGTTTTAATGGATTCACAACCACCTAATTCTCTCTATTCTCTCTTTAAGCAATTCATGCTTTCTTTCTCTCTCTCTTTCTAAACTAGCTTTTTACAAACACAATTCTGCATTCACAAGATCTTGAAACACCTAGCCAAAGGTTTATACTTTTTTGAGGGTTTGGTCCCAAATCCAGTCTAAACTTTTTAACTCTTTCTTTCAATTTATTTATTTTAATTGTTTGATTTTATTATTTTCATTAAAGTTTACTAACGCGTGTATTTTGTTATTAGAAAGAGGTACGAGGCTTCCAAGTAAGTAATTAGCTTACTCCTTATTTTATTTCAATGTAAAAAGCATGTTTATATTTGTTTAATTCCTAATATCATGTTAGGATGTATTTATTGCTTTCTAGTATCATGTTTAGGGTGTCATTTATTCTTTCTAATATCATGTTAGTACCATATTAGGTTTAAAGCTTTGATCTTTGATGCTTAGTGACATGCTAGGATTTGTTATTAATCTTGTTAATATCATGCCTAGGATCTTACTATTATATTTAAGCTTTAACGTGATTGTTATTATTGTTATTATTATGATTGTTATTATTATGTTGCTTGATGCATATTTATTGTTATTGCTTGATCATGCCTTTTGTGCATGTTTAAAGGGAATTTGTACTTGAAATCACGCTTAATAAGATAATTAATAATTTGGTTTAGGCTAATATGATTTTAATTCAAGTGATCGCCAATAATAGTTTGTTTGTGCATTAATATTCAACCAACATAGATAAACAGGTTTAGGGCTAAACTTATTGTTTGCATGTTAGTCAAAAAGCGCACATGAATACGAGTAGAATAAAGTAGAGGCCTATTTTTATAGGGCGAGTTCCTTCTTTTGTAGATTGGATTCGTACCCTCATCCCCGAACCCTATTTGGTTCTTGACCTTATGGAGTTGACGATCTCCTAGATCGTTAAGGGGTGTAACCTTCACCTCGTGAACGGTTTACAAGTTCCTAAAACTTGTTGGCGACTCTTTTGCTCTCTTTTCTTTCCCTTTGGACGCCACCATACTTAAGTGTATGATCACAGTGGGGTTCAAGCTTGGGGTTATGATGCTTGAAATATTCCCCACAGGATTCATAAATAATTGAAGGGGTAATTTATTGTTGTTAATTGTCAATGCTAGATTAATTTCCTATTGATTGATTTAATGATATGCGGTTAGATTTGGCCAGATTTAATTCGTATGAGTTTAGCAATATTGATTCGAGATTCGAGAGATGAGAATTGATGTTTAGGCTTAGTTTCAATTGGCAGGTTACTTTATAAATGGTTAAGTCGAGATTTGAGAGATGAGATTTAATACCGGTAGATTAATTCTGTGATTGTAATACGTAGTGAAAGCCCTTTATGATCTGGTTAATTGATGCATTGATGATTGATTATTATGTTTTACCCTGAAATATTGTTTATTGGTGAACCTATGCCCTAGGTCTTTTATTCATTGATTTTTCTCTATTCTTACTTTTCCCTACTTTTACTCTTCGTAGTTTAGTTTCCCTTTCAATTACACTATTTTTGGTTACTTAATAATTTAGATTGCTTTAATTTATTAGGAATAGAAAGACTTGTTTTCGCGTGGATTCGACTCTACTTCCCTATCTACATTAGTTAGAGGATTTAGGAATTACTTTTGATTAGGTGATACGACTTTAGCCTGTCAACGTTGGTGAGACTTGAGAGTGAGAATGAATTGTTTCTTGATTATACCCAAAAATTTTTAAAAAAATCGGGTTTTCGGTTTGGACCGGAAAATTCCGGGTTAAACCCGGACCGGACTGAAAACCGGAATAGACAATTTTTAAGGACCGGGACCAGACCTGAATGTTCCGGTCCGGTCCATGTCCGGTTTCCGGTCCGGTTAATTTATGTACACCCCTACTTGCAACGGCTAGGGATTAACCCTAATCATCAGCTATATAAGGCATCATCAACAATGAACACACAACAACCGAGCTACTAAATCACTCAAAGCATACATTGTAATTCATTCTCTTGATATTGTGAAAGTTTGATAGATCCTCATTCTACCCGCGGTTTTTACCTTCATTGAGTTTTCCGCGTCACCAATTCCTTGTGTCATTTCATTATTTTTGCATTATCTTTATTCACGGTTTTATTTAGTTGATTCATAGCCAAGATTTTGTTATTTAATCACACTTGACAAAAATTAGCATAAACAACCATATTTGTGGAAAAACTTAATACATACGTGGTATAATTTATTTTTAATAGGCAACATAAATATGATTCATCTATATCTATTGTAAATTGTTTTATAATAGAAGATACATACATGGTTTTAAATTACATAAAAGAGCACCAAAATGAAACTAAAAACAGTTTCATAACTCACATGACACATACAAGGTAGGTTTGGTATCAAAATGACAAATTAGAAGCAAACACACATAACACACGTCGTTGTACTCATTGTAGTAGTTCAAAGAAGTTTGATTAGGAAGATTAAGAGGCATTACTTCTGACTATGTTTCTGATTCCAAGATTTGATATCTGAGTATAATTTTTTTAAATAGTATAATTTTTCGGGTAAAAAATAACACATAACGTAGGGTCTACGCGATATGATACTGAGAAACTTGATATGTGATCTTCTCATGAGCAAGATAATGAAGGAGCAGAGGACGCAAGTGAAGATAGCTAACCAACGAGTTTCGGAAATTGTGGTGACATAAACTCCTGTCATAAAAGCTACCAGAGTTGCATAAAACGATATCAGCAGCAGTTTGATGGTCATATATACAAGCAGCACCTGAAACGTCTGTTGTATTTCTTTTATTTCTTTTTCATCCCAACGTAAGCGATCTAAATCCTGATGTGACAATAACCAAAGAAGACAAAAAAGGACCAACATAGAGCTGCACATCCCTACCACATCCGCAACCATAAACACTTGGAATGCTGCCTTCTTCCCTAAATTGGGAATTCCGATGTCACCTTTGTATCCGCCATATTATCTCAAATAACCCTCCACCTACAACCCAAACACCACCCCCACCTGAAAGATAGTCAACCAGATCCACAAAGAAACCAGCCTAGATGATTGATTATGTGTGTGCAGTTGATTCTGCAACTTCTCATTGGTGTAATTTTGTTGCCTATGATGATTTTCATGTTCCATTAAAGGCTTTCATTGCTCAGATGTCAAGTGTAACAGAACCAGCTACTTACTTTGAAGCAACACAACACACTACTAGAAAACAGCCAAATAACGACGGAATTCCGTCGGAATTAGTGGTCGGAAAACGTTTTGTAGGAAAATGGGCTTTTTCCGATGGAATTTCCGTCGGAAACACTATTCCAACAGAATTTCCGACGGAATTCAGTCCGCTGGAAAATATTTAGGTTCGAGAAAGTCCGTCGCAAGTTTCCGACGGATTGAGTTCTGTCGGTTTGTTGCGACGGAAATTCCGTCGGAAACTTATTTAAAAAAAAAAACGCCCTCCACCACCCCACCACCAGCCCACATCACCAGCAACAACCCCGCACCACCAGACCTCGATCCCACCTTCAAACACCAGCCCCGATTCCACCATTAAACACCACCGACACCAAAAACACCCACAGTAGCCACTAATCCACCTTCAAACACCGCCACCGACACCAACCCTAGCCCTCTCCCACCTTTAAACACCACCACGCCAAAATAAACCCCAACAAACACAAAACTTAGCAAAAAAAAACTGAAAATAACCCCAATAATCGAAAATCAACCCCAAAATTAAACCCCAAACACCACCACACCAAAAATAAACCCCAAAAAACACAAAACTTAGCAAAAAAATGAAAATAACCCCAATAATCGAAAATCAACCCAAAAATACGAAAATTGAGACAAAAAAATCGAAAAACACCACACAAATAAATCAAAACCAATAGATCTACATATTTAGCAAGAATTTCATAAAGAAAATTCCAAACATATAACTTTCATAATTTTTTACAAAGATGGAATTAAAGATACATGACATTAACCAAACAAAATTATGAAGATTTTATCTGATCTGGTTGAAATTTTCTGATCTAGTTTGATTCTAACAGAAGTAATGAATAATAATATGTTGAAGAGAACAACAAAACCAAAAAAATGTATTTGCATAAAAAAAAACCTAATAATATATTATCAATTCTCTTTCATTCATGTTCTCTATTTGAATAAAAAAAAAACTACTTTCTCTCACATGATATTATATTTTTATTAAAATAAATTAACGATCCTTTTCTCAACTTATCTATTATATAATTACAGAGTCGTTTTTGCAGCACTTAACCATATCGCTCCAAACCTCCAACTCTCAATTCTCATGCACTCCCCCCCCCCCTAACTTCCAAATAATTGCATGCTACAATATTTAAGAGTTAATTTTGCAACACTTCACCACAATCCTTCAAATCCCCAACTCTTAATTCTCATGCACTCTTTTTTTTAAAAAAATAATATTTTATTTGGCATCCAAACAACTTCCACCTCTCTTAACTTCCACTATTACTTTTCGTAATAACTCCCAACTACCCAAAAAACTACCTTTTTATTATATACCAAGTACTAGCTATATATATAAAAATCAACTTCCGGATTTGAAATATAATTTTATTATATATCGAGAACTATATAAAAATCAATTTCACATATTTGAAATAAAATTGTGTTAATAAAATTTTTTTTTATACATAGCGTGCATTTTGCACGGGTACACTCTAGTACAATATAATATTAGAGCAAATAAAGTCTCTTGAAACTTGGTGTAAATGAAAATGATATTATTATATTAAAAAAACAAAGACAGTATTCCCTCTATTGCAAATTAATTGCAACAATTAGATGTCGTATGACTTATTAATGAATCAATTTTATTTCAAAAAGGAAAAAAAAAATAATTAATTGCAACAATTTATTTTTTCATTCATTTGTCTATAGTAAATAAAAGTACTCCCTTCGTTCTTTTTAAATGCATCACTTGCCTTTTATGGGTGTTTTATTTTAAATGCATCACTTCTATATTTGTTAACTTAATACTGTATTTCTCTCTCTTACATTAAGTCATCCCACTCAAATTAATTTATCATTTCTCTTCTTCTCAGGCCCCACTTATATAATACTTTCTCTCACAAACTTTCTCTTTCAAACCCGTAGGAAATTTCCGACGGATTTTTAATCTGTCGGAAAATATACCATTTCCGACGAAATTAATTCCGTCGAAAATTTGCGATGGATTTTACAGCCTTTCTAATGGAATTTAGTAAAATAATAATAAAAAAAAACCCCCCCCCAAACCCTAATTAAAACGGCTCCCCTACCCCATATTTCACATTTCTCTCTCTCTCCGCCTCTCTTCCTCTCATCTTCTCTTTCTCTCTCCTCGATCTCCTCATCCCTTCTCTTCTGACTACCCTTCCCTCCTCTCCTAACTCCCCTTCCCTCCTCTCCTCCTCCTCCTCCTCTCATCAACGCCTTCTCCTCTTCTCTTTCTATCTCCTCTTCTCCTCCCTCTTCTCTTCTCACGGTCTTTAATGATTTTTAAGGTCGAGTACGACCATGAAAATGCTAGATCTAGCGTTTTCATGGTCGAATTTGACCTTATTAAACCAAGTTCGAGGGAATTTCGAAGGTTTTTTTATTTTTAAGGTACGTTTTAATGTTTTTATTTTTGTTTATTATTTTATTTTTTTGGATGGTTTTAGGTTGGTGTGTTTGATTGTCAGTTCGGTGGTGGTGGTGGTGGTGGTCGTCGTCTTATGTGTTGAGGGTTTTAGGTGGGTGGGTTGGAGTATGGGTTCGGTCGAGTTGAGTGTTTAGGTGGGTAGATCTGGGTTAAGTGGGTATGGGTTTGGGTTCGGTGGTGGTGATCACTACAAGAAATAACCTAATTTTGGGTTCGGGTTTTGGGTGTTAGGTTGGTATTTTAATTTTTATTTTCATATTTTTTAATTTTTGGTTGTGATTTTGTTTCAACGGTTTTGGTTGTGATTTTGTTTCAACGGTGACGGTGGTGGTGGGGTGGTTTGCTTAGGTGGGGTGGTAAATCTGGGCTTGTTTGTGTAGGTTAGGGTTTTGGTGGTTGAGGGTGGTGGAACGGGTTAGGGGGTTGGTGATACGGGTGGTGTGAGCTGGTTGGTGGTGGTTGATACGCCGTGCCATGGTGGCACGGGGTTTTTATTAATTTCTTAAAACAATTTCCGACGGAATTTACTATTCCGTCAGGAATTTCACACGGATTTTTTTGGTGCTAGAAAACCTCCTTCGACGGAAAATTCCGTCGGAAGAAGACAAATTTCCTACAAACGCTTTTTCGACAATCGGTTACAATGGAATTCCGTCGAAAACGAGTTTTCCGACGAATTTTGGGGTGGTTCCGACATAAATTTCCGTCGAAAATGACCCTTTTTCTAGTTGTGAATCATGAAATTTAAGATATTTTTATAATTTAGGATTTATGTAAGTATAAGGGTAATATTACAGTCGAAATAACTGTGTGGAATTGGTCTAGATAGATAAAATTGTGCATGCTTAGTTTTAGGAAAACAATTGGCTTTAAAATCCTATCTCTTTATTTTATAAAAAGGATTTTATTTTATTTATTTTCAAAAATCAATTAAACTAATAAAATTTATTTTGTTTTCCAAAATTTACGGCATACTCCCCACGATCTTTTCTTAAGTCATGACTTGATACATTGAGGAGTTCATGCCCTTGAATTTAGGACATGTTCTTCTTAGTGGTTGGAGTAGTGGGCGTTATGGATGAGTTGCACAAAGATATTTTTCCAAGTAGAATCTTGGTCTATAAATAGGTAATTAATTTTAGTTGGAAAAATCTCCCTTGCTCAAATAGATTTCAACTTTTGTTTTCTTTAATGGAGTCAAGAGTCTAATTCCACATTAGTGAAATAGAGTGTTCTAATGTCTTTGTACTAGAAGTTATTCTTTCAAATTGTATTTTGGAGAATTGGGAAGTTTGAGTGAACTTTTGTTTATGAGAGAGAGAAGTGAGAAAGAGAAGAGAAAAAGAGAAGAATAGAGAAGAGTAACAAGTTGGGTGATTTGTTCCTTGCGGCGTTGGGTTCGTTGAGAAACTCAAAGTTAGAGTCTTTAGTTTGTAGTAGGTTTTTTGCCCTGCTATTCTAGTGAAGATACAATTCAATTATTTTCCTAAAATACCAAGTTGTCGTGGTTTTTCTTCTTGATTAGGGCCAAGGAGTTTTCCACGTAAAATCTCTCTTGCACTTTCACTTCCTTAAGTTTACTTATTTTTATTTTCACAAAAAGTTTGATAAATATGTTATACTACAATTCAAAACCCCCCCCCCCTCTTGTAGTATTCATTGAAACAACACAATGGTTGTTTTTGCTTTCTTCTCTTTTCTTCCTCCTTAAACTCTCAAATTTAACCGAAGATTTCCCACTATACAAAAACGGAGAGTATTATATCAAATTCATCAATTAAACATCATGCACCCTTGGCCACACACAAGGAATACGAGTATTAAACTTACAGTGGGATTCCTGACATAGCAAGTGCAAAGGAGTTTGTTAGGAATGGTTGAACTCTCCAGCTAAGTTTGCATCTATCTCAATCAAGTACTTCGCCAATTCAAAGTTTCCATATTTAACTGCAGAGTGAAGGATGGTGTTGCCTTTTACGTCTTTTACCTTCCACGGCGGTAGTGGTAGTGGTAGTGGTAATTCTCCTCGCCCTTTCAAATTCATCCATATATATTTGAGTCCCAAAACGGATCTGGCTTATCTGGTGCAACATCTCAAGATGGAGAGGTGTTTTGCCAAGGTGGTTAGTTTGACAAAGAAGGGCAGGGTACTTATTCAATGCATCCACAATCAACTTTTCTTCTGGATAAGCCTCAGACTTGAACCTGTATAAATTTTTATTTAGCAATTGTTTGAGACCCTGAATTGCTAAATGAATAATGTTGCTTCCGTCAGGTAGTCGAGAAAGAAATTGTTTTTCATCGTTTAGCATTATTTCTTTTAAGGTATCCCACTTCCCATTTCCAACTGCTTCATACAAATCATTACTCATAAGCTCATCTTTTATTACCTCTTTCTCAATTTCCTTCTCCTGCAACAACAACATTGTACATTTTACACTTCAGTTTGGTAATTATCAACCACATTAGTTTTCTAAAACATCTCCAATGTTGTAGCTTGTCTTGCCACATCTGATTTTTGAACTACAAAGGTTTTAAGCTACAAAGTTCCACATTGATTGGCTACAACACCTTGTAGCTTGCCTCATCAAACAATTGTTTAATTTTTTTTTTTTTATTTCATGTTTATTATTTTATTAAAATTATTATATACTATAATATTTTTTATTTACTACTTGTATATCATAGATTGATAGATATTATATTTAGGATAATATTTGTCGCAGATTAGGATATATTAAATGTATATTTTGTATGTTTATCGTATCTTAGGCCTAGCGTTGCAAACTCTATATATTTGATCAATGATACACACTCCAGATTGAGGAGTTTTCCCGAAATCTAACACAGATGAATGTGGTTTTTTTTCCTACCTTTTTAGTTTATACAAATAAAACCAAAAAAAATTAAAAAATCAATTTCTGATTCATAAAAATTAAAATTTTTGAAAATAGTGTGATTGAATTAAAACAAAAAAAAAAAAAAAAAAAAAAAAAAAAAAAAAAAAACAGAAACATATCACATATCTATCATATTAAGTATTGTATTTTTTTTTTTTTAATCTCTATCTCTACTCCGTAGCATTTTGCTTGCCAAGCAATTTTACACACATAGTCTTAAGTCTTCCAAATTATTTCCAATCGGTGAAAATTACTTTGCATTATTTTTTTAATTAGAAAAATATATATATATTCTTCAAATTTTCAAGCAGTGTTGCTCATTAAAGCAGGTCTTCCAATGTTATTCCAATGGTCAAGCTACTACTTTAATACTTTAAAATTTGCAAGCACGACCCTATAATAAACCATTGGAGATGCTCTAAGATCATCTTTATTTGATCAAATAATTCAAGTTTTAACTTAATCAAACTGAATAAATACTAATTTTTGCCATTGAAAAATAAAGGTGACTGTTTACCAAATTAATTAAATTTTTGTTGATTAATTTATATTTTTGCAATATATGCTAATCACTTAGAGCAACTCCAACAGTGTAAAATTAGGACTAGCTTGCAATTTATGAAACTAATAAATAATTAGCTTAACCATTGGAATTGCATTACCAAATTAGCTGGGCAAAGCTATTCGCTTAGCTAAGCTAATTAGCTTAGCAAATTGTGGGAATTAAAAAAATTAAATAAATAAATAAAATTATTAAAAATTAGCTTAATCATTGTGGGATTAATTAGCTACAAGGTAGATTAGCTTTGCAATCCTAGTTGGCATGGCAAGCTAATTTCACAATTAGCTTACCTTTGGAGTTGCTCTTATTAGCCAAACAAAATAATTTATAGATAAAAAATGGATTTACAGTTACATTCTTTCGAAACCAGTATGTCCTAACTTGTTAGATCTAGATGTGTAGTAGCAAAATATCAACTTTGGCACTAACGACTGGAGACCCTTGAAAAACAAATGTAGCAAAAATGGATCTACATTTGTTTTAATTTTATTGCCGATACCATAGAGGTCGTGGTCACACCACGAAGCTCTCAAAGCCCGTACGAGGGGTAAAATTAATTCGTAAAAGCCCGTATGAGGGGTAAAATTGTAATTTCATTTAAAACATTTCTTTTATTCCAAATAAAACTCATAAAACGTAATTATCAATCCTAATCCTATTAGGATTCAAAAGAACCTTCTAAAAGATTCTAGAAGACTATAATCAATCCTATTGCATTAGGAATGATAATTCATAATAAACCCTCCTCTAGATCATTGGGTCGCGCATAAACATAAACATTGTTGAGTTGAGCTTCAAAGACGTGGGTAGTTATTACCTTAATATTAGGATGCTTTAGTTAGTGGAGTTTTGCATGGCTTAATAATAGGATATGATTGTTCTTAGTAGTGGAGACGTGAAGTAGTTTAGGAGTAGGTTAGTGGTCCTACTTTCTAGCTTTGGTTTGTTAACATTAAGCTTATATATAACTTTGTATATATCTGTAAATTTGTGTGTGGAAAATGAATTAGAATTTTAGTTGTTTTTTCTCATTCCTTCTCTAGATTTTATATTTCTATCTATATTAAAATATCTAACAAACATCAAACCGAGTCTAGTTTAGTAATTTGGCCATAACTTCCTCAGTATTCATCGGAATTGAGCTTATAATATACGTTGGAAATCTCTTTTCGAACCCCATCCAACTATTCTATTATTGGACACTTGCTATGGACCAAACCAAACTGGATTGACTGTTTTCTTAAAATAGGTTTTCAAAAACAAAGAGAAAGAAAAGAATTAAAACTTAACCGCAACACTAGACTTTCCACACTTTCACTTCATTCGATTATGATTTGACGTGAAAGGTACTCATCACCGGGTTTGATTTTGGGAGACACAAATGGGTGTCTACAATAATACAAATATTAAACCTCATATTTTCTTAATCCTTAATTAATTAATAGTCAAATATTACATTATATTTTTAAGACTTTTTTTGGATTTTTTAAAAAAATATATTATTCGCATTAAAATATGGTTTAAGGTGTAGTTTGGTCTAAATTTTTTTTTTAAACTGCAACACCCGGCTTGGTCACATTTAAAAACCGCATCGTACTTTTCAAACTGTACTCTGAACGGCCTTAGAAAAAAGCAGCAAAATATCTCAATGAAGGAGTGCTAAGCTGTAGTAGTAAGGGAGGAAATGACGGAGTGACAGATAAAATGTTAGTGTAATGGGTATTTTTATGATTAGTATAAGTACCAATTTTAAGGATACTTAGTGTACATTGTACTAAAATATATTGTATTCGATACTGAAATTGTAGTGATGGTTAGTGTACTCTTGAAATTATTGCTAGTGAACTTGTTTTCATCCTTGGAATTTCGGACCATAATTATTAATTACCCATTATTGTTGAGGAGAGATTTTCCACGTAAAAACCTTCTGGGTTGTGTTTGCCTTTTCATATTTTATAATTTTTCCCGACATTGTGTTTACCAGTACCTTAGACCCCAACAGAAGTTACCCCCACTCAGAATATCTCCCAACTACCTCAAAAATAGTCTTACCTAGAGGTGATCAATGGGCAGGCCGAACTGAGTTCGGGCCGGGCCAAGATTAAAGAATCAGCCCATTTATCGGATCATGCCGGGCCGGGACTAACTTCAGGCCGGAAATGTGTGCCCAAACCCGCCTAAACTAGGCGGGCCATGTGGGCTTTTCTGGTCAATTTTCAATCGGATCAAAAAAATCAACTAAAATTGCATAAACTTGATTTTCCAAGCCCGCCTAAATTTTTAAAAAAATATTGGGTTGGGCCAGGCCTAATCCGATTTCGGGCCGAAAATAGGTGTCCAAAGCCCGCCCAAAACCGGGTCGGGCCCACAAGTTGTGCTCAACTTGATCACCTTTAGTCTTACCAACTTGAAAATCAATAGTTACGATGGTTTTGAGGGTATTTTTAGGTGGATTAACGGTAAAAATCCGATTAGAGGTAACATTTTATCTTTCATAGTAGTTTCTTATATTATTTTTTTATTAGGTAGTTTTTCATAAAATTTGGTTTTTATTAGGTAGTTTGTGACAAAAAAAATCCTTTTTAAAACTTGTTAGATCTATCAATAGGTGTAGTAGCAAAATACCAACTTTTAGAACTAAACAGTACAGAACATTCAAAACCAAATGTTGCAAGTAATTAATTTAAAATGTTCTTCCTTAAAAAAAAAAAAAAAAAAATTAATTAATTAAGTTGATATGTTTCTTTTATCATAATGATTACAAAATTTTAGGGTTCGTTTGGTATCGCTGTGGTTTTCTGTTTTTTGGTTTTTTGTTTTTTAAAAGTATATTATATATATTACATAGTGAATTAAAAATTATTTAAACTTATTAAAATCATGATAATTTTGAAAACTGACAATAGAAAAGTGAAAACATCTTTTTCTTGTTTCTTGTTTTTGGTTTTTAGTTTTAAAAAAAAAAAAACTGGAAACTGAAAGCCAAAAATTATGTCAAATAAGCCCTTAATAATTAATATCTCTAATTATCAAAAAGTTGATATCATGAAATTATTTATTATTAAGACAATTTAATTGTGCAATGTCCCACGTGACTATGTTATATTAAATCACAAAATCTAGTTAAATCAGAGTTCCTAAAGAGCCAAAGTAACCTCGAGGTTACGGGATCGATCCTTGCCCCCCGCATATGCTGGAATTTCCCCCGCCCCCTGTTGTACCCGCCCTTGTGGCTCATATGAATCAAAAAAAAAAAAAAAAAAAACCGCAAAAAATTATAAATTAAATTTTTGCATACCACAAAGTGAAGACACTTGTTTGGTTTTGATTCAATTTGAGCTTCGGCTGAGATATCCAGCTTGTTGTTGATAACAAAGTGATCAAAAAGAGTTTGTGCAGAAACACCCTCCTTATTTTCTATGGAAAAATTAGCATTATGTTCAACCATAGCTTTTACCATTCTGAAATCATGGTTCATCACAGCCATATGCATTGGTGTGTTCCCGTCATCATCCTGTTGATTGATGAGCTCCACGGGAATTTCTGGCTTTTCCAAAAAATTTCTTGCCTCTAAGGAAGTCGGAAATCTTATGTAATGTAACACATTTTTTCCCTTTGGATCACATATCTCGATTGACTCAGGACAATCGTTAATTATGGCATCAACAACAGGTAAATTAGAGCGTACTGCAGCTCTAAGTAGAGGGGTCATCCCGTCTGCATCACACCAACAACATACCTCACTATTTTTCTCTACTAACGACTTTACCAAGGACAGCAACATGTCTTCATTTTCTTGTACGAAAAAACTATTCCTGGTAGACAATGTTGCCCCTTGGCTAATAAGCGAGTTTATCATATGTATGGCTGACATTTCAGTACCTATAACATATATACCAGAGGGAGTAGTATTTTTTCTTTTTTTTAAAGGATAAATATAAGGAATCAAATAGATAGGCATTGTTAGGATCGTAACTACACACCTTTAGTGTCATACATAACCGCGAGATGAAGTGGAGTTTGTTTGAGATGGTAAACCCAAGGAGATCATCGTCGCTGTAGATAGCCACTGCGGCTTCCACGTCTCTGGCCTTAGCTTCCTTGAGAAACTCTACATCTCCTCTTGCTGCTGCCTTATAGATTTCTTTCTTCATCATATACTTAAATGGCTAGTTAACTTTTGTTTCTTAATCCAGAGTTTGAAATTGAAACCCAAGTCAAGTGTATAACCGAGTTTTGGCAGAGAAGAAATTATGAGAAATGGAAGTTGATAATGTACAAGGCAGAGAATTGTGATGGGGAGGATAAAGGGCTAATACTGACATTAAACATTTTAATTTGAAAATACATGTGAAATTTTCAAGGAAATTATACTTTATTTAAAAGGAGGAGTAGAGCACGAAAGTACGGGCTTGTTCTGATTGACTGAACTGAGCTGATCTTATTGGAACTGAACTGAATATTTTACAAGAGGGGGAGATTAAGATAAGTGAACTGAATTGAACGGAAATTAAGCTGAATAGAACATGCCTGACTGAAATAGCATAGAGAGATAAGAGAAGGTCTCAATTATTGGATTTCGTTCCCTTATTTTTGTTGTTTTTGTTTTGGTTTTTTCAACACATCTTAATTGCATAGGTAGTTGAATAATTTCATCAAATAATTTTAACACAAAGATTAAATTTCATAAAATCTCAAACTTAAAGTGCACGTCAGGTGGCTATGTTGCTATGAGAAAGTAAACCAAACATATGTATTCTCTATGTTTTTTTTTTTTTTTTTTTGTAAAATACATCAGTTTGCCGAACACATTTGTCAAGACGTAACTTTGACCATTAATATCTTTACATGTCCATTAGTAAAAATTGTAATAAAATTCTTATAAAAAAAATTGTAACAAAATTATATTCTGAAAGCAGATTTTATGACAAATCTAATGATGTAAAACATAATACGAATAACATTTAGTTATTATATAATACTCTTTCCGTCCCATAATATAGTTCTTGTTTTCCTATTGTAGAGATTCAAAATGTTGTTTATGTTTTTATTTTTGAATAGTATGTAAAAACTATTATGCCCTTACTTTTTAACTTTATTTATTGAACTTTTTAAATTACCATTAAATTATCCACTTGCATTGTACTTTTCACTTTTATTAATGTATTTCATCTACCTTTTCTTCGTAGTATTTTTTAAATTTCGTGAAAAAACACAAATAAGAACTATAGTATGCCACTATGAGACGGAGTAATAGTAAAAAAAAAAAAAAATATTACATAACATGTGATTAATGCAAAAAATCAAATTGATGCATTTAAAAAACAATGGAAGAAGTTGTAATTTAATTTACATTGAAAGTTAGGTTAACAGTTTGACACGTGCTTCGCTCAACTACTAAAAATAAAATTATCTTTAGAAGTACATAAAATTGAACCAAACGAGCCATATTATAGTGGGCCAATACCGCAATATGCCAGTATTTACTCATTTGACCAATTCCACAATATAAAATGGAGCCCATTGTACTGGTGATAGCAACCTAGCTCTACATACCACTTGTTTAAAATTGAGCAAAAATGCAAAGTAAATACTGGTAATAATTATATTGGTTATGGCCAACTACTTTCTGAAACCTATATAAATGACAAAGTGACAAGTATGATTGTATGAAGTACTCCTCTGTTTTAAAATATTTGCTCCATTTATTTTGGCCGTTTTTAAATATTTGATTTATTTTCTTATTTGGAAAGTTTTTACAATATTCAGTTAATTTCTCTCACCAAGTAGACCCAACAATAATAATTACATATTCTCTCTTTTTCAATTCTCTTCACTACTTTTGGTTTTTACAATTTTTTATTCTTCCACCATCCCCATTACTTTCCTATTTTATTCAATTTCTCATAAAACTCCACGCATAAAGAAATGAAACAAGTATTTAAAAACGGATGAAGTATAATTTAAGTACCGTTTCTTACCACAATAATATATATATATATATATATATATATATATATATATATATATATATATATATATATATATATATATATATATAATGAAATACTCCGTTTTACACGTGCATAATTTACAAAATTTCAAACCTCAAGCTGTCCAGTGCCCACCGACAGGCTACACCGCTACAGCCTACATGGCTATTGGCTAATGTGTAGTTATTATTTAATTGATAGAGTATTTTAACAAAGTTAATCATTTACTCCTTTATCCCAATGTAGTGAGTGGCAGGTGTACTTCTCAGGATAGCGTTACTAGAGAGTAGAGACTAGCATTGGAACAAGGCTAGTTGATGGTGGAGTTAACTGTAACTAGGCTGAGAGGGCTTTTTTTTTTTTTTTTTTTTTTTTTTTTTTTTTTTTTTTTTGGAAGAAGTCTTAAAGGATATTAAATTTCATTAAATAAAGTCATACGACATTTACAATTGACAATTAACGATAATGAAAACGAATATATCAAATCAAACAAGAATTAATCGGGGAAGGGCTAAGAATCCAAAAACATAAATATAACAATTCGGCACATTCTCGATTCGTTGTCTCATACAACTTTTTGAGAGGCCTTTTAACTGTACGTATAACTTTTATAATTATCTAATCTAGTTCTTAAAAAAAATGACTAGCATTGTAACAAAAAATAAAAATAAATCCATGAGTAGATATAGATATATTACTCCGTATTAAATTATAAAGATTTAAGAAATCGAATAGAGTTTGAGTTGATCCACGATAGGTCAGGTTTTATTATTGGCTAGAATATATTTTGGGTTATCTTTTAGTTAGTTTCCTAATTCTATATTAGTGTAAACTTGTATTACTCCCTCCGTGTTTTAATAAGTGTTATACTTTGACTGGCACATACTTTTAGGCAATTTAATTGACTCAAATAAAATAAGAGATAAGTGGCGTTGTTAGAGTATTAAAATTTGTAAAAGAAAGATAGTGGGGTTAGTAGTACAATGAAAAGTAATGAATATGAGAAAAAGGAAATAATAAAAAAAAGTAGTAGTGGGTTTGGGTGAGAGTCATGGGAGGAGAGAGATATAATATTAAATTGTAGTTTTTTGCCAAAAAAGAAAATGTATCACTTATTAAACCACGGTCGGATGTGGTATGTGTAACACTTATTAAAACACGGAAGGGGTATATATTAGCCATGGCAGCCATCAATAAGAACTAAGGTTTCATGTTCATTCAATTTAGCAGATAGGTTTGTTCGGATCGGATATACTTGTGTCAATATTACCCTTTTAACTGCCTCGATTTGGGATAGGTCAATTTCGAATGAAAATATGTCGAGTAAGATTCGGGTAAAAATCCAATCAACTTCAGATCGATTCATATTTGGTTTGATATATTTGTATCGAGTTCAAAACGGGTTTGGTCAAATAACTTTAGGTCGAGTTCATCCAGGTTTATTTTGTGAATTTCGATTTGGTATATCCAGGTTTATTTTGTGCATTTCAATTTGATAAATTTGTGACTGTCAACCAGTCGTGATAATTTCTTTTTGCGACCAAGTAAATAACGATCATCCCTTTATGACTGTTGACGGTCGCAATTATTTTTAGCGACCGTTTATACTATTTTCAGCGACCGTTAGAGGCAGTCGCAAAAACATTAATTTTTAGTAGTGTAGTGACGGATTTTCCGTTAGAAATAGTGTTAAACCAAAGAGACGGACACATTCTTTTTTGGGGTAATAATATTTTTGGAAAACATTTTATCGATCTATCTGTAGTTTTTCTGGAAGTATTAATAAAGGTTTAGAGTTAAGCTAAAATACGGTCCCTCAACTTTAGTATTTGTAGCATCTTGTTTCCTTATCCTTTAAATGAAGCAAATTATTCCCTCAACCACCTATAACTTATTTTTCCGGTGGAAAAAAGATGAGTCACCAAAGTTTAGGGACCAAAGTGCCCATGTGGAAATAATAATAATAATAATAATAATAATAATAATAATAATAATAATAATAATAATAATAATAATATTTTAAAGAAAGTTTAGGGAACTTCTGATGTTGAGTTGACATTTACTTTATACTAAACAATGAAAGTTTAGGGACTAACAAGATTATTACTACTTATTTATATAAAATAATATGGTTTTTTTTTAATTTTATAAAATAAATTTGTTATATGCTACTTATTTATATAAAAAATTTATTTTATAAAATTCAAAAAAACCATATATCCTATGGGCTTCATCTAATATTTAAATAAAAACTACATACTTATTAGAAACACCTTTAACAAATAGAAAAAAAAATTAAATATACTATTGCTTGAAATATTGTTCATATATTAAAATTCAATTCAAAATAACAAACGTTAAAAGAACATAATTTATAATGTAAATAGCATATACTTCCTTTGTTTTCTTTTACTTGCAACACTTCCCTAAAAAGGAAATGTCATAATACTTGCAACACACTATAAAAGAAAAGTTACTTTATGGAAAAACTATACTATATCCCTTATTTAAAGCACATGACCCACTAAATTACACTCCTAACAACCACTCATCCTATTTTAATGTTTATTATATCATGTAAACCCCACCTTTCTTAATAACCACGTTAAAGGGTGTGTTGCATTTAAAAGAAAACGGAGGAAGTAAATTTTAAACAAAGATCATATTGATCAAACTCAAAAAACATACGATAATAACAGTAATTTAAATATGACATATGATAAAAAAAAAAAAAAAAAAAAAAAAAAAAAAAAAAAAGGAAAAGAAAGAAAGAAAGAATTTGTACGTTACTACACCTCAAATAACATACGAGCCAAATTCAAAAAGCCTACTTTGTATTATTGAAACCCAAAGTCAAAGTAGTGTATTTTAATGGTAGAAAAAGTCAAATTTACCTAAATTAAATTCTATTTCACTTGAGTAAAATTGTCAATTGAGATTTTAATATTGTTTTCTTTTATTTCTTGTAATCTAGGTGGCCGTACTATTAACAAAACAAACAATTTGTTTGTAGATTGGTGGTTGTTATTATGAATTTCGTGGGATACCTACCAAATATTTGAAGAATGCAGAAGCAAAGGCAGCTAGGGGTGCCCAGTTGCTGGAAAGCAGAAAAAAAGAAGAAAAAAAGATTCCAAATTGCAACTCAAAGTAGAGTCACCATGAGGGTTGTGAGGTAAGAAATTTTGAATAATATAATCAAGTTTCAACCTAAGATCGTTGCTCTCAAAACCTTGATTACAGCTATCCTTCTTTTTATTTTTTCTAGGAAATGCTTCCACCTTCCATCTTCTTAGGGTCGAGAAAAGAATTACTCCTAATTATAATTGGAAAATGATTTGGGGGTGTTATGAAAATATACATTTAGATTAATCTAACAAGACCTCGTATAACTATATATATTTTTTTAATAGTCCGTATAACTATTTTTTATCATAACTACATATCACAAAAGCTAGTCAAAATAGAGTTTGTGACTAGTATCAAAAGACAAAACCTATCAACTAAAAAAGAACGGAGGAAGTATGTTGGAGAGCTTGTCATGTCCTTGGTTTTAAGCCATCGGAAATTTCCAATCGCTAAAGAACTTAATTTTCCAATGGTTTTAAAAGCCATAGGAAATTTTCGAGGGCTTTATAAATTAATTTTCCGATGGTTTAAAAGCCATAGGAAATTTCCGAGGGCTTTATCCATCGGAAATTGTATACATTCATCGAAAATTTCCTACGGCCACTAAAACCATCAGAAATTATGTAATTTCCGATGGTTTTATATGGCCATCGGAAACTATCCATCAAAAATGTCGTGTTTTCTTGTAGTGGAAAAAAACCAAACCATATTTCTTATTCGGTTCGGTTTGGTTTTAAACCGAGTTTGTTTCACCCTTAAGACACTATTACTACCACGGTACTAATCTCCATGTATATACAATAATGAAATAAATAATAACTAGTTTTCCATGACAGCTGAGAGCCTAAAATAAATTTCAACCATAAATATAAACATGATTCTATAGTAAGGGTGTGTTCTATTCACCTGATTTTCATTTAACTGAACTTATCTGAATTAAACTAAACTTATTAAAACTTATTTTAATTGTAATTAGAAGTTCGATAAACCTTGTAAGAACTTATTTTTCTTGAACTGAATTTGTAGGTTGTTGCCGGTCCCTATTATTTCCGGCGACATCACGGCTTTGTGGCTGACAACAAGATTTGTTTGGGATCTACCTTTGACATTGCTCAAAGCTTTCACTCTCTTCAAGCTTTCGCTGTTCCATTTGCGATCTACCTTTGTTATCCAAGTTTGTTATCTTAATTTTTTGTGTTACTTTTGTGGAAAAAAGGGTTACTTTTTTGGAGAAAAGGGGTCGCTTTTGTTAAAAAAAAAAGGTTACTTTTGTAAAAAATATGGGTCACTTTTGTAAAAAAAGAGGTCACTTTTGTAAGAAAAAAGGGTCACTTTTTCGCAAAATATTCGATGTACAATAAAATTATTGTAAACCGGGGGCATGCAAAAGTTATTGCTTATTGTTTATGCCAAATTACACAACAATGGGGGTAAATGGTTGGCATTAATTCCACGTTAATCCATTTTGATGATTTAACTCAAATGGTTTATATAGTTTGCTTTTCCTCAACAATGTGGGTTATGATGCTAATTCTATGTTTGGATAAAATAATGGAGGGAAAGTGTCACTTCCTTTAAGCTTCGTATATACTTACAAGATTGGTTTTCATTTTCTCATCACCGTATCCCTTATCATTCAATTAATTACCTGATACGCGAAATGGACTTATTATAGTCACATATAAGAATTTGGGTAAAAATAACTTAATACATACGAAATATAATTTATTTTTAATTGGCAACATAAACATGATTCATCTTTTGTAATAAATTGTTGTTTATAATAGAAGCAACATACATGATTTTAGATTAAGTACATAATAAAAAAAAAATAAAAAAAAAAACACCACAATTGAGCTAAAAAGAGTTTCATAACTCACATGACAGTACATTTAAAGGTAGCTTAGGGTTGGTATCAAAAATATTATGATAATTACAAGCACACACATAACACACGTCGTAGTACTCATTGTAGTAGTTTGATCAGGAAGATGAAGTGGATTCTCTTGCAGGTTCTTGCTAGTCCCTATTATGTCCGGCGGCACGATTTTTTGGCTGACAGCAAAATTTGTTTTTAGAGTATAATTCTTTGAAATAGTCGGCTAAAGCTTGACACATAAAGGGCAGTATACGCAATATGATACTGAGATACTTGATATGAGGCCTTGTCATGAGCAAGATAAGAAAGGAGCAGAGGACGCAAGTGAAGATAGCTAACCAACGAGTTTCAGAGATTGTGGTTACATATATTCCTGTCATAAAACGATATAAGCAGCAGTTTGATGGTCATATCTACTAGCATCACCTGCTTCTCGTCTTCTTTAAAAACATCCTCTTCAATATCCTGACGTGACAATAACCAAAGGAGGCAGAAAAGGACCATCATGGAGCTGCACATTCCCACCACATCCGCAACCATAAACACCTGGAATGCTGCCTTCTTTCCTAAATTGGGAATTCCGGTGTCACCTTTGTATCCACCGGGAACTGTAAATGCTGCAGTGAATGTAACGGTTGCCAACAACGCCGCCACAACCCCCATTGGGTTCATATACTCCTTTACATCCTCTCCACGCACTCCATATGTACTTCTATCAAACTTGATATCATTCTCATTGTCAAAGTCCACACCTCGTGACTTAAGGAATTTTTGAAACTGGAAATATATATTGAAAAACAAAAGAATTATGATACATACTTTTAATTTCTTGGTAACTGTTTTTAAAGAAACATACTTTAATTGAAAATTAGGCTTAAAAAAAAAAGTGGATCGCAAGAAAAGGTTGAATTGAATAGGGAAGATCAAGATGCATCCTGTAATCAAAGATGGTAATTTTGTCAGAAAAAAACCATTTATAACACCTATTTTGTTGGAAAAAACCTTATAAAAACTTTTTGGCAAGGAGAAACCAAATTATAAAATAATTTTGTTGAAGACAACATGAGACCTCTAATCACTCAACTAACCACTAATTTTCCCTTAATTTTTCTAATTACTCATAACTCTAACTTAATATCTTTAATAATTAAGTTGAATTATTAAAAAAAAAAAAAAAAAAACCACCCTCACCATCACCATCCACCCTCTCCTTCTCCCCCTCCCATGGCAGCAGCTCAGCAGCCCCCCAGCCCCAGGGCAGCCGCCGCCTGGATCCCCTCACCCTCGCTAACCAACCTCCACCACCAAACCGACTCCCTCCCTTTTCCCTTTACCGTCGTCGAACACCCTCCTTCGGAAAACCACCCACCAATACCACCTTCTGCCATAACCAAAACCCAGAAAACCTCCCCGAAACACCAACGAAAATGCTTCATACGCAACCAAATCCCCTCCTCGATCTTCAACAATCCCTTCTTAAACACCACAATCTCTCTCCTCCCATCTAATTCCAACTTCAAAATCCACAATCAACTCTTCTTCTGGATAAGTGGATAAATCAAAGCAATATGGTTGGAGACGCTGAATTACTAAATGGATGATGTTGCTTCCATCGGGTAGTCGAGAAAGAAAATGCTTTTTATCTTTAAGCATTTCTCTTAAGATTTGCTACTCCCCATTACAAACGGCTTTATACACATCAATACTCATAAGCTCATCTTTTATTATCTCTTTCTCGTTTGCCTTCTCCTGCAACAACATTGTACATTTTACACTTCAGTTTCGTTTGGTAATTATTCACCACATTAGTTTTCTAATATCATCTCTATTTGATCAACTATTTATAGCAATTATAACTAACTCAATCACTCTGAATGGAATTACAATTACAACTAACTCAATCAAGGAACTCCACAGGAATCTCTGGCTTTTCCATAAATTTCCTTGCCTCTAAGGAAGTCGGAAATCTTATGTAATGTAACAAATTTTTGCCCTTTGGATCACATATCTCAATTGATTCAGGACAATTGTTAATTATGGCATCAACAACAGGTAAATTAGAGCGGACTGCAGCTCTAAGTAGAGGGGTCATCCCATCTGCATCACACAAACAACATACCTCACTATATTTCTCTAATAACGAGCTTACCAATGAGAGCGATGAGATGTCTTCATTTTCTTGTACAAAAAGACTATTCCTGGTAGACAATGCTGCCCCTTGGCTATTAAGCGAGTTTATCATATGTATGGCTGACATTTCAGTACCTGTAACAATAACATATACACCAGAAGGAGTAGTATAAATTAGGAATTTTTTTTTTTTTAATAACTATATATTATTGTTGTCGTTTTGATAATAACCACCAATAGTTGGTTTTTTATTTTTAATACTGGTTTATTTTACCATTGACTATTTTAAAAACATGAAATTTTCCCATCAGGTTGCCCAAGCCTTCATACATGACACCATCATGCCTTCTTCTCCCTCGATTCTCATGTTCAATTGGTTTTATTTTTTCAATATAAATTTAAATTGGATTAGGGAAAAGCATTTGGTAGTCAATTAAATATAATTCATCAAGCTCACACGAACATAATTAAGTCATTAAATTTGTTATTCTTTATTTAGGATTTATTTCAGATTTGGGGGATTATTCAAACTGAGATAAATTTATATATATATATATATATATATATATATATATATATATATATATATATATATATATATATATGCTCAATTAAGGATCGCTGATCATAATTTAGAAAAACGATTGATTTTAAATATACCCAAAATTCATATGAAGCCTAATTTTCATAACAAAGTAATAATTTATGAATAATATTATCAATTTTGGTACTAATTGAAGACATAATACGTGAAATCAATGCAAAGTAGTCCCAATTTTTTAAATTAATCACTAAATAACAAACTCCTAAATTCATTTCAAAACTCTAAATGATGAACACTAACTTTAATTATTTCCGATTTGTAAATTAGGTACCTAATTTAGTGAAATAGGAAGAACAAGATTAGATAAAGGAATAAAATTGATAAAATCTGTTGATAGAGCCCACAATGACGTCAAATAGGAAGCTCACAATGACGTCAAATAGAAAGCTTTGGGTAATATGATGGAAAATTGTCATGCTTTTTTAAAATAGTAGATGGTAAAATATTAAAAAAAAATGTTAATGGTTATAACTAAAAGGACAACAATAGGTTGATTATTTTCAAAAGACATCCTATCAGGTATTCAGGCCAACAGTTATCATCTGGTTGCCCCAAAAATCAGGCCCAAAATTTTTAAATATATAGTGGAAAAAAGGTTAAGTTATTGAACGCATTGTTTGGCAAAGAGTGCAGAGGAGGTTGTATTTATCTTATTTCATTGTTTTAATTTTAAATATAAATTGTCAAGTGTGTTTGGAGTACTATTTTTTAGAAATGTATTAAGTTATTATTATAATTATAATGGAGTATTATTAGTATTTTTTGCATCCTACAATTAAGAAATATGATTTTGGTTATGAAAAACGTTAAAAAATGGTGAGAAAATATTAGAAGCTCTTCATAATCTATTGTTAAAAAACCCAAAAATATAAGAGGGAGTATAAAATTTTCTTTTTTAATAACGTTTTAAATTGATACTCGTATTTTACAAATTTAGAAACAGTCGTAAATCGTATAGATTATTTAAGTTACAGATAGACAATATTAAAGAAATAGGCAATCTGAAGTACACACCTTTAGCGTCATACATAACCACGAGATGAAGTGGAGTAATCTGCAACTTGAATACTTTTACCACCATTCATCAACGCCAGATGAAGCGGATCCTCCAAGGCGACGGCGGAGAACCAGGCAAGTTGTTATGGGCAGCAACAAGGTACTCAGCTAATGCTTGAGTACGTTGTTTGGCAGCCAAATGAAGAGGGGTGTCGCCGCCAGAGTTAGTTTCGCAAATGAGCTTTCTTTGGTGAGAGGGTTCTGGAAAGCATTCCAAAGTAACCTTGATGAAATCAAGCTGACCAAATTGGGCAGCAACATCGTCGCTGTACATAGCTGCCGCGGCTTCCACATCTTTGAGGAACTCTACGTCTCCTCTTGCTGCAGCCTTGTAGATTTCTTTCTTCATTCTCAGCTCAGACGCTGTGAGCTAAAGAGTAGTTTAAACTCTGAAAATATGTGCTTCAAAATACCGTGGTTTTTACAATTTTTGAAATATACGTGCTTAAAAATTAAAGGGAGATGATTTAAACCAGTTTAAACTAAAAAAAAACAAAAAGAGGATATTACGAAACAGACGAAGTAATTGCTTCCTACTTTCCCAGAATCTAAGATATACGGGTCTCTACTCCATTGTAATAATTAACTTAAATTATTTCATAAAAAGAGAGATTATTTAATTTAATTATTACCCCAAAAGTCATATTTTATTAATGGAGTCCACTGAGGTCTTTATCTGCTCCACTAAAAGGGCCATCGTGGTTTGAAAATTGAAAGTCTATAATAATCGAGACTCGATCAGTAAGTTGGCTTTTTTTTTTTTTTGGTGTTAAAGAAAGCCACAAGAGCGGGTGATGAGAATCGATCCTAAGATCACCTGAAACCGGGAGGGAAGCTCTAACCACTTGAGTTATCCCTCATTCTCAGTAATTTGGCTTTGTGATGGCCTGTTAGATTTGTCTTATTATGTACTTTATAATATTAAGATGTGTAACATTTTCAATCAACAAACACATGTAATATTTTATAGGAAAATTTATCAGGAACTACACGGTTAATAGTGGTATTTGGAAACAACTATCCACTAAAAAATTTTATCAAAAAAACTACCCTAAATTTAAAAAGTTATAATAGCACTACCCATTTGCATTTTTCGGCGAGAATGTCCGGTACATGAGCCCACTTTTTCAATTTTTCTCTGAAAAGACACGATGCAATGACAAATTGGACCTTAAATCATAACCCTAATATAACCAATTTGAATTAAAAGCAACAAATTCAACCAATTTCAAATTATCCCCAATTTCTAAGAACCCAAATTTTTCTAATCGTTACACCCGGCCCTAACATCGAAATTCATAATTAATGGATTAAAAGAAAAGAATTACATATGAATTGCATACCCTACTTGTTTTCACTTCTTCAATTAGGAATTTTCAGAAGAAAATTTGAAAAAGTGGGCCCCACACGTCGGACTTTTTCGCCGGAAAACGCAAATATGTAGTGCTACTCTAACTTTTTAAATTTGGGGGTAGTTTTTTTGATAAAATTTTTTAGTGGGTACAGTAGTTGTTTCCAAAAACCCCTATTAAGCATGTAATTCCTGACAAATTTTCTTATTTTATATTGATATTTAGTACATATTACTAAAAGAAAATCTAAGTGGACACTTACAATGTGAGTATGTGGCACTAAAAATTTTCCCTCCAAAATACTTAAAAAAAAATTGTTTAATTTTTACTTGACAGTAGTCACGAGACTCACGACGAAGGCGTTTGTCGTGACATTAAGCCATTAGAATAACTGAATAATATGGGTCCTTGAGACTTAAGTTGTTTCAACCATATAAATAACTAGGTTAGAACCGGTGCAATGCACGGTTTGTATAAAATTTATTTTTAATTTGTACATTTTAATAATAGATCGCTATTATACATGTATATAAATAAGAATTACGTACATTTTGTAATTTAAAATCTTTTATTTTCATCAAAATTATGATATAGTATCTATCAACGTCGTCTAATTCATAGTTTAATGTAGGAGACCATTTATTAGTGTGGTACATTTTGGTCAGGTGAACAATAGATTGGGTTTAATTCGGGTTCTCACGGGTTAAAACGGGTTAGGGTAATTCTCGGTTTTGAGTCGGGTTCAGTTCAAATCAATAATTTGCGGGTTAGAATCAGGTCGGGTCATTCCCGGGTTTGAGTCAGGTTCGGTTCAAGTCAATAATTTGCGGGTTATAATCAGGTCATTTTCAAGTCGGGTCATTCTCGGGTTCAAATCGGGTTCGGTTCAAGTCAATAATTTGCGGGTTATAATCAGGTTGGGTCATTTCCAAGTCGGGTCATTAAGTCAATAATTTGCGGATTACAATCAGGTCGGGTCATTTCCAAGTCGGGTCGTATTCGGGTTCAACTGACTATAAATAGATAATTATCATTTTTATCAAGCTAATTATTTCCTTTGTATATAATACATATGACAACATACTAGGGAACTATAGTCTATAATTTAGAAAGATCAGATAATTATTTCCTTTAACCATACAATAAATATATACTATATTTAACTCTAGAATTTGGGGATGATGCTCCATTCTTTTGTTAGTTTGGACCAACTTGGTCTCCCTAGACAAAATGCTTTGATCAACAATAATAAGCTGGTATGAATTGCATTTAAGGTGATTTGAAATCGGGTCAGGAATAATTTGGGTTGAATTTAGGTCAGGTAAATAACAAGTCTTGTTGATTTCGAGGCGGGTTAGTAACAAATCAGGTTGAATTTTTGGGTCGGGTTAGTAATAGGACGGGTAAAATTCGGGTCGGATCAATAACAAGTCGGGTTGAATTTGGGTCTGGTCAACAACAAATCGAGTTGATTACGGGTCGAGTTTGTAACAAGTCGGGTTAGGAACAGGTCGGGTTGAATTTGATAGCCACGGTACGGTACAAAACAGTCCTCGATGGGTAAGTATATTTTTGTACAGAGTCCTCTTGCATCATTTACATGTACAAGTAGCTTTATTTTAACACTGATAGTATAATACGAGTATATAATTTAATCTATACATTACATAATTATATATATATGTGTGTTTCTTAAACTCTCCTTTATTATATAGTTTCAAGATTTCCTCTCATCAAAATGGATGAAGCTGCCACAAGTCGTTAAGAGTGGTAAAAGTCTATACGGAATACATCACTCGGATATGAAGGAATACATGGGCACACTAGCGGTAGTAGCTGCTTTATTGGCGACAATAACGTTCACAGCAGCATTCACAGTCCCGGGTGGTTACAATAATGAGAAAGGAACTCCAATTGTGGCCAAGACATTAGCATTCCAAGTCTTCATGATTTCAGAAGCGGTAGGAATGTGCAGCTCCATGATGGTCTTATTTTTGCCTTCTTTGGTTCCTTAACTCAGGCCGATTTGAAAGGGAGGGATCGGACCTTGTTGATCTAAGCATTGGATTACTTCAGCTATCGTTTTATGCAACTCTCCTTGCATTCACAACTGGTGTTTATGTAACAACGTCCCCTGACGTACAATGGTTGGCTATCTTCACCTGGATGTGTGCTTATTGTCTGCGTAGTCTTAGGGGCTGCACCAGATGGATTGTTCACAAAATAGTATCCAGACGATAACGAAACATACTGTAATGAAATGAAAGACTCTTTTAGGCTTCTAGCATTATTAGCTATTCAATCTTTAATCATCCAACGTAAATGTAATGATGTATATACATGTTTGCTTCTACAAATGCTAGAATTAATATTTCTTATTAGACTTTCAGAAAATGGGTCCTAATAGGACAATAATTAGAATGCGGGTGTATGATGATGCACATGGATGTTGTGAGCTAAGGCTATGCTTAGTTTAATTTACCTAATTTTTGCTTATCATATCAGATTTATTTTTATTTTTTTTAGATTTAATCTTATATCAACTTTTTTTTTATTGGTTATCTGATTTCTAGTTTAACTAAAGTTTGACCTTATTAAGCAAATTTGTATCGACAAAATATAGAGAAATTTGGTTAATTATAGAATGTTGCGATAATACAAGCTTTACACCCTTCTTTTTTTTTTCTTTTTTTTTTTTGTTAGGCCAAATTAACCATGTACCTAAATAACAAGTAATTTAGGGGAATGGAGAGAATAAAGGAAATAGGAATAATAGTCTAATTAACAAACAACAAAAGAAATATAAGTAGATGATTCCCTTTTCCTTTTATAATACCTCAAACCAAACGACCCCTTAGTGGAGGGAGAAATAATAAAATAGTGGTGGGTCTATCAATTAGAAAGTAACGCAAATCTAGCAATTATTGTAAAACAGAAGAAATTTTGGCTTGCTTTTACCCAAAAAAAAAAAAAAAAAAAAAAAAAAAAAAGCCTTACTGGTTTTACCATCTTCAATTTTAAAAGTTTTATTTTACCTTTAAAAACAATTCCAAAAATTGGATTTCACTACCAACTAACAAATTCCGTCCATAAATCCGTTAGTGGGGCTCTCCCTTTTGAGATTTCTTCTTCATCTCCCCCGAACTTCCATGACTACCACCCAATCACATCAACGCCACCCCTGCTCGTGGAACCCATCCGCCAATAGCACGTGCAATCGACCTCCACCTAATTTTAACTACCATCTGACTTCAATGGTGGAATAATAGGAGGGGGAGACAAATTTCATGCACGTCAAAATTTCATGTGGGGCTAGGGAGGGGATTGGAATTTGGTGTGGGCTAGGGAGGGGTTTCAAATTTGGTGGTGGCTAGGGTTTTAAGGTGGTCAGAATTCAGTAGGAAGGGGTTTTAGGGGTGGTCAGAATTTGGGTGCTAGGGTTTTGGGGTCGGGACTGGTGGGACAGGGACAGAATCCATTGGGAGGGGATCAGAATTCGATGGGGCTAGGGAAGGGACTCGAAAATCAATAGGTGAAGGGGTGTCAAGGCTTACACTGGGGTACGAATTGAATAGGGTGGTTGGCTGGTTGGGACGCCGGTAATGGCGATGGCGGGGAGGCGATTCCAACGATGAGGGTGTCGCCAGTTGGTGGCTGGCCTGGGTTGTTTTTTTAAAAAAAAAATATTATTATTATTATTTATTTATTAATTATAATTTTTAAATTTTTTCACCTAATAAAATAGTGACACTTGCTCATGGTAGGTTCTACTAACGAATTTATGGACAGAATCCGTAGTTGAGGGTGATTGGTGGTAAAAGTCAACTTTAATTTTTTTATATGTTTTTTTGGTGTTTAGAGAGCCATAAGAGCGGGGGGTAAGAATCGATCCTAAGATCCCCTGAAATCGGGAAGGAAACTCTAACCACTTGAGCTATCCCTCACTCTCTTAATTTTTTTTTTTATATATGGTGGTAAAATAAAACATTTAGATTTGGAGATGGTATAAGTCATGAAGTAATTATTTTATGGTATAAGTCAAAATTTCTTAAAAACGGATATAATATAAGGGCAATGCTATATGTAACTCTAAAGACTATTGAAAATTGTATAAAATTAGGAATTCATGACAAAAACACGCGTAAATCAGTATAATTAGTGTTTATATTTTTTTATACGACTTTTTAGTGTATATTTAATGCTTATATGTAGCCCTAAATACTACGTATATCATTTCCATAATATAAAAGAAAAGTGTTTCAATTATTACTACGTAGTACGAGTAATTCTCCCTTCGTTTTTAAATATTTGTTTCATTTTTCTATGCGCAGAGTTTTAGGAGAAATTGAGGAAGGTAATAAAATATGAAGATAGCGGGATTGGTGGAATAATAAAAAAAAAAAAAGAAATTGTAAAAATAAATTGTGCCGGAGAGAATAGAAGGAGAGAGAATATAGAATTAATATTGTTAGGTCCCGTCCGTCAGAGAAATAAATTAAATATTGTACTCCGTAAAAACTTTTCAAATAAAAAAGTGGAGTAAATATTTAAAAACGGCTGAAAAAGAAAAGTGTACCAAACATATTAAAAACAGATGGAGTATTATAAAAAAAACAAAATACTATTCAGCTGTGTTTTTACTTTTTAGCTCTTCTCTTCAACCCAGAACTATTACTCACTAGCAGCACTAATGGCGGAGAAAGGTGGAAAAGGGTTTTCTCTTGGCAAAGGAGCAGGTTTTTCTTCTTTTTTCACCCCTTCTGTGTTTTTCCTATATAATTTTCTCTTCTTTTTAAATTTGACAATTCCAATTTTAGGTTTTTCATTTCTTTGAATTAGAATTAGGATTCAATTTCTCATCTTTTTTCCCTCAACGGGAAAATAAAAAATGCAAAATTGCCGTTAATTTTAAGCAATTCTTTATGCTTCAGGGTTTTGTAATTCTGAACTGTCAAGATATTTGTTTTGAATTATTTTTTTAATCAAAATGCCAACTTTATTTAGGGTTATAATTTTTCATCAGTGTAATTTGTATTCCTATTTTAATCTGGGATGTTTGTTTCCAAAGTATAGCATCAGTGATAGCTGGGATTAGGGGAGTTGAGGCAACTTAGTGATTGGAACTTAAATTTTGTATCTTTGTTTTGTTGGAGTACAAATTTGAGTGATTGGGTTTTGTTAATCTGAAATCATGGGTATGATTTGATTTGTACTTGATAAAAGTAGGACACAATGAATTTACACATGTAGGCTGATTGCCTTCATACCATTAGAGTCTTGGCGAGTAAAGGCATGTAGTAATCTAAGATGACATACTAGCAAGTCTAGCACCTGTGAAATATAGTTTTTGTTGAATGATAGATGTATTTCTTTTCAAGTGATTTCAGCATGCTACAGTCTAATGTAGTGATGATCATGCCTACATTGCAGCATATCAATTTGATTTGTCCCAAACTTTTACCCCTTTTAGCTCGAGAGCCTACTGCAAGAGTAATGATTGTGCTCACCTCTACGACTCTACCGAGACCCATGCACACTGAGAATACAAACCATAGCATGCATATGTGTGTTATGCTTTAAGTTGCATGTTAGGTTGTTTCGTGCTCATAATATAATGTTATCCATATTTTAAAGTTAATTCATATCAAAACAATTTGTGGATGCTCTTCCATGTTGTACATAGAAAAGAGGCCATTAACGTGCTCTTTCTTGCAGTGCCCTTGAAAGGAAAGGATGATGACTCCACAAAATTAAAGAAGGGAAGGAAAGTGCAGTTTGAAGATGAAGGTACCATCCTCTTCTCCTGCTAATCTACACTTTGAGTAATTTCCTTACTTTCAACCTCAATGTCAGTTCTTTTTAGGTTATGTTGTTGCCTTAAGTTGATATGTGTACCTTTTGTCATATATGAAGTTTAGCCCTCTGCTTTTTTTCTGTTAGTAGTCATAGTTTATCCTTTATAGCATTAGCTGGCTATGCTAAAGAGTGTTTGAATCTTTTTACCTTGTGTGTAATGTGGTTCTTTCTTGATAGATGAAAATATCTGAGACTCTGAGTCATTTTCTATTTTTGGCTTTTATTTTTCTTCGATGAAGCTGATACTGCCTAATGCCTATATACATGTACTAGTTGCATTGAGTGTTATATGTGCATGTTTAGTAGTAATTTATTTGTTGAATTTTTTAATTTTGTAATTCCTTTTTTTTTTTTTTGGTGGCAACTTCTTGACATATATCAAGAGTCCCCTGCAAACTTTTCGTCAAAATCTGGAGGAAAGGGTGAACCTTTGAAAGGAGGGAAGGGCTCTGCTCGAAAAGAACCGGCTAAGTATGAACTTAATGTTCAGTCAGGTTTGTAATTTCTGTTTGACACTTTTAATATGGTGTTCAACCAATTATTAAATTATTTACCCTTTATTCTTTAAGAGTTTAAGTGCATACTATTCCTAGACTTCCTGGTCTAGAAGTTAGAAGTAATCTTTAATGTGCAGTCAGATGACTGAATTATAAGTTGGGCTGCTTGCCCGGTGTAAATTAAGCAACCTTTTATGCGTATGTGGATTAATTTATGGTCCTCTGCAAAAGGAAGCTATCCCTGATCAGGTGTTTGATGCTATATGCTCCTTTTATAGTTGTTCATGTTTAGCTAGTAGTTGAAGAGCTTGAAGTAAAGTTAGTAAAGAAGGGGTTGAAATATGGAAAGAGAACATAAGTTTACTGAGGGCAGAGAAGGGATAGGAGGAAATAAATAGGAAGACTAGGAACTATATACTTGTACTCATTATTTCACCTCTAGTACTTGTGTCGGATCCTCAACACTTAGACTTGAATTATTGGGTAGGATACTTTGTAACATAGGTCTTTATCTTGCTCCCAACCCGAATTCATTAAAACTGTATAGATATCTTGCTATCTGATTGGGTCTCTCACAAAATTAGGTGTTTCTAGGTTGCTAGGTTATTCCAATCTTCCAATGTTCACCACCAAATAGTCAGAGGGAGTACCTAGTGCATATTTGCTACCCGCTTTTTCTTATACCTCTAGCCGAATGTCTTCCACTTTGCTGGCTTGGACCCTCTTAAATAATGATAAAGAGATAGGCCTTGGAAATTTGGCCAGCAATGTAAAAGCAGTCACAGATTATTAAATTAAATTTGCGGTGTCTACATGTGCTGGAAATGCTAATTTCTTCTGCTTGAGTTCATCTGTTGTAAAGTTCTTCCCCTGGCTAGCTTACAGGAAAAGAATAATGCTTTATTGCTCTGGGAGGAACTTGGACCTTCAGCTATCGTCGTAAGATAATTTAGGGTTAGGATCTCTGTAGAGTATGTTGCAGAATTTATTGAGAGCAAGTACACCACCATTGTATTGAATTATATTCTAAGACAATGAATTAAGAAGGTATTGTCACCTTGTCCTAGACTCCTAGTCGTTGAGAGATCTAGCAAAAGGATATCATACATTAATCTGCAACGATTCCGTGATACCACTTTATTTACCATCACTGTGATGGAGGTTACCCTGTTAACAGCTGCAAATAAATTTTTAAAAATTGACTCACCACACCATTCTTCATGCTAGAATGGCATTCTTAAGTGACTTTTATCCAGCCTACCATATAATCAAAACACTCTAAATTAAAGAAAAGAAAAAACTCAACATCCTGAATCTTGATATTTTCCAACTTATTTGGATACAATGGTGATGGTGAATGAAGACATTAAGTAAATGGGTAGAGTGGATAGATTGGAAAGAAACTTAGATTTTAATCTTATCAACCTTTTTCTGGAACATTTTAATAATAGGAGCTCCAGGTTGAAGTCTTAAATACATAGTTGAGATTAGATTTTAATCTTATCAACTTTTTCTGGAACTTTTTAATAATAGGAGCTCCAGGTTGAAGTCTTAAATACATAGTTGAGATAGAGTCAATCTCGCTTCTGAAAATGAAAAGTCCCACTGCTGGGACCTTATCTGTTGTCTATTAAAATCATCTACTCGGGCTTTATTATAAGGCTAACTGTTGCTTCGAAAAGAACAATGTGAGTAGTGGGAATTTCTGTTGGGCTTTCAAAAGATTGAAATATCGTATGCAAGCTCCAAACTTTGATTTGGGGGAACACAAAACCCTTGGAGGGTAAGCTCAATTCGAGGGAAGTGAAAAGAAAAGTTATTAGAGGGGGAAGGAGGCAAAGAAAATAAACATAGAACCATATATTACAGTTAAAAATTATTCGAGGGAAGGAGGGAAAGAAAAGAAAATAAACACAGAACCATACATTACAGTAAAAAATTATTTGAGGGAACAAAGAAAATAAAATAAACACAGAACCATATATTACAGTAAAAAATTATTTGAGGGAAGGAGGCAAAGAAAAGAAAATATACACTCGAAGTGAAAGGACATTATCAGTTCCCTTTCCCTTCTAGAAATCCTTTAACCAAACAGCGACTAATTAATATTGTAGGATTGTTGTATGATTTGTCAGATTGTTGGTGTGTATGCTTTAGAAGATTTCTTTGCAGCTACTTCATTGATACTTCATACTAATAAATTTGTTGCTGCTCTCTTCCACTTATCCCATGAAAATTAATGTAGTAATTGAGATATGGTTCCTTGGTTTTAGGGATATTGCTTGTTTAAAGTTTCTGTGATCAGAAGAATTGTATCCATTTGTTTTAGGAGAAATTTTTCCTTTTATTATTATTATCATTAGTATTAAACATGCTCAACTTATTTGTATGTCCATTTGCATTATTATTAATGGTTTTTATATATCCCTCCTATTTGTTTGCCTGTAGAGCTTCCGAAGAACTCCAAATGTGTGATGGATTGTGAGGCAGCTGACATCTTACAAGGAATCCAGGAGCAAATGATTTTTCTCTCTCGTGATCCAACTGTCAAACTTCCTGTGTAAGAATTCATGTTTCATAGAGTTGCTTAGAGTGGAGAGGGGTGGGTGAGGAGCTATATTTGGCTTCTCAAATGTTTCTGTCAAGATTAGTGTGGATATTTCATATTCTCTAACAAGTCTTTTATCAGTTCATTTGACAAGGGATTACTATATGCCAAAGCTGGAGGACGATATTCTAATCCCAAGGCTGTCAGAAAGGCTCTCGGGTATCCTTTTACAAGTCTTTCATCAGTTTATTGTATTGTAATGTAACGACTCTCAATTGTTAAGCCTTTTAACTCATCAAGCAGGACTCTCAAGAAGTACGGAGTTTCTGATGGAGAGGTAAGTCACAAACTTGGTGAATTGGTAATTGAAAATGTATGATATCACTAACGATAAGTGCTCCTATTCCAGATATGTGTCATTGCCAATACTTGCCCTGAGAATGCTGAAGAGGCTTTTGCCTTGGTCCCTTCCCTGAAGGTATGTTGCATGCAAGTTATTTGATTGCAGATTCGCATTTGTGTTCGGGTTACTCACTTACCTTTTTTAACCCTAAAGGCCAAGAAAAGCAAAATCAATGAACAACTTGAAGAGGCTATATCTCAGCTGGTTACATTGAAGGTGCCAACAGAAAACCATAGAGAGTAGAAAGGGGAGGTACGTTTGTTTTGCTTTCTGCAGTAGAATTTGTTCCACCATGTCACCAATAATGCTCTAGTTTAGTGCTCGACTCAAACTTAGTGGAGCATTGTGACTGGTGAAACTAAGATATATTTCTTGTATGTGATTATTATCTAATAATTGATTGTATCCAATTTTGCAGATGCCAAGTCTTTGCAGCATGTCGAAACTGCATGATATGCATCAACTGCACTTACCTGGCCTTTGGTAGTTGGTTTTGTATAGGTCTTAATTTTGAAAGAAAATTTTCTAGTGTAGTCGGTTAATTGGTGTCAAACTGTAACATGTAATTCCTAACTGTATGAACTCATCTACTTTTTAGTTTCGATGCTTTTCCCTAACTGCTGATCTTTAGTCAATATCTATCTGTGTGCCAATTACTTTATACCCTTCTGTTACTATTCTTTGACCCTTTGTTACTTGTGCAACCTTGCTCAGGGTGGAGGTTGCCCTCAGGTCAAACTCTGGAACAGGAGTAATAACAGAAGCAAACATAACATAAGCAATTTCTGTTTAAAAAAAAAAAACATAAGCAAAGTAAAGCCACTAGGCAAGTGCGGCTTTCCCAGACTGCTGTAACTCATAAGAGATGATACTCCCTCCGTGTTTTTTTAAGTGTTACACTTATCAAATTCAGCCGTGTTTTAATAATTGTTATACTTCCTTTTTTGGTAAAAAATTACATTAAAATATTATATCTCTTCTCTCATAGTCCCCCATCCAAACTCACTACTACTTTTTTTATTATATCTCTCCTCTTACATTTATTACTTTTCAATAAACTATTAACCCTAATATCTTTCTTTTATAATTTTTTAATACTTTAACTACCCCACTTACCTCTTATTTTATTTAAGTCAATTAAACTGCCTAAAACTATGTGCCGGTCAAACTATAACACTTTAAAACACGGAGGGAGTATGCTTTGCTTTTGTTAAAGACAGAGACTGAATTTTACTTCCATTATGCTATCCGAGCATGAATGAGTGGCGAAGATTTCATAGCTAATTCATCACTGCTGTAAGAAATATAAACTGCTTAAGGTAGGCATCACAATTCACATGCATGAGTTTACAACACCAGTCCCAGTAGTAAAATAGTCGCATGTATATCAGCATTGGCAACAAAGTGACAAACACCATAACAAGCCTTATACACAATCGAAACAACCAGAAACAGATGTTGGTAAGGGAGAACAAAAAAAGGTTTGACACATAACAAGATTTCACCAACTGTGGAGCTTAGTAGACTGGCCCTGGGACTGGGAGCAATCTCTTGCCCAATGTCCAGCCTGGCCACACTTGTAACAAGTACCAGATGATTGGTTTCCTATCGCACCAGCAGCCACATTTGATGTAGTTGTAGGGCAATCTTTTGCCCAGTGCCCTTCCTGGCTGCATTTAAAGCAGGACGAACCACTTTTCATGCCATAGCTTCTGTTGTCAGTGGCTTCGAACTTCTGGTTTTCTATTGCACCAGCAGCTACGTTGGATGTAGTAGTAGGGCAATCTTTTGCCCAGTGCCCTTCCTGGCCACATTTAAAGCAGGACGAACCACTTTTCACGCCATAGCTTTTGTTGTCGGTGGCTTCGAACTTCTGACCATAGCTGGTGTTTGGAGCAGTTCCTCTATCAAAGTCGTTCCATGATCTTGTAAACCCAGAAGCTGCCTGTGAAAATATTTTTGACTGACCAAATTAATAAACTTGAAAACCAAGTCAGAAGTTTTATTTTACAGTATACAATAATTAAAGTCCTAATACTCAAATAAATTGCCAGAAGATGAAAATTCCGTGGAATGGCACCGAACACAATTAGCAACCCCCCTTCCATACCGGAGTCCAGAGCACAACAGGACATCCATCAAACCATATTTTTCCTTTGTCCAGAACCAAAAATATGCAGCTTTAAAACCAAGCAGAAGAACAAAATTACAAACTGTATTTCACACAAATCCAATTCCTGAAATGAAGGAAATCCTCCAATAATGTCCAGCAAAATAAAGTTCATGAAGGCTAAATATATAATCTAGTTTCCTGAGCAGAATCCACAGATATTTAGGTAAGTCCACAGATATTTAGCATTCAAGTGCTAGAATGATACACACTTTAATACTCCACACATAAAACATTTTGTTTGTAGAGGATCCATTGTTATTGTCAACTTAGAAATGATCAAATAGAGTTTTAACTACTACATTACTTCAAAAGAAAGAATTAATTCTAGAAAATGAAAAGGAAAACAAGGTAGGTAGTTAACCAGAAGTACATCTGAGCAACCAAATCGAGATTGCAAAAGGCACTAGGAATCTATCATACGAATTAAAAAAAAAAAGGTAAAAGACATAGCTATATGACTGGAAGTCATTAATCTAACGTATACAGACATTATCATAGCTTAAAAGTACCTGGTTCGGCTGGTTAGTAGGGCGCTGGTAGAATTGCTGCTGCCCTCCATTCTTCCAAGCCTTATCTGCTGATACAAAAACAGTAGAATTACTGTAAGGAAATATATGAAGTTCAAGAGCAACAACGGCCACAAAATGTAAAACCTTTCCTACCTTCAGGAGAAGCAATTTTTTCAGATGTTTCATCACACCACTCAAAAAACCCACAGCCACCATTCTCCTGCAAAAAAGAACCTAAAAGTTAGCATCCCAACATTATTATAGTCTCATATAGGAAAAAAGAACCAATAATTATTAGAAGGTGTAAAGCAGTAAACTCAAAATATTCACCCACTGATGTAGGTTCATTCCACAACGCACCCTGTGTAATGGTTAAATAGCTATCTCTACTGCTCAGCACAACAAGTTTGCATCAGAAAGTCTAATAAAGGGGTAGGAAGGGAACTGATACTCAGTAGCATACAAGAAAAGAAAAGCTCCCTACTACAAAGACAAGATATGGACTATATTCCACATAATTATGCATAGTAATCAAGACAATTCCACATAACAATGCAGACTTAATCAGGAAAAGTAAGATGAACCAAAACCAATCTTCCAAAGAAATTTGCAGCTTGCAAAACAACCAGAGCCCAAATTTCTCAAACTCCTAGTTACGTAAATTTGTCTTAAGAGTCTCTTTTTTTCCCTGAAGATTGGATCATATAGGGCCTTGTAGCAATAGCAAATTCACAGTTGATTTTACATTCAAATTCAGGACAATATAAAAGCTGCAAGCTCCCTAACATTCTTGTTGACTATGCCATGAATCACATCAAGTCAGCATTGATTCAATCATCATTAATACAGCTTTAAAATACAGTTTTTCTTCTCTAAAAACACAGAATAAATTCCTGCCATAGTTACCACATATATAAGCAATAGTGCAATACAAACAATCACATCATGCGCTAGCCAAAAAGAGGTCCGAGTAACAACCACAAATGAGAAGACGACTACTAACAAAATGTCATTCATACATAATTCATTAGCAATAAAATATCATCTTTCTTCATTAGCAAACAATTCATTGCTTTCACAATCCACATTTTAAAAACAATTAGTCTTATTACCAATCAAAACACATTAAGTCATCCAAACAACCAATACATCAACACAAATACAGAATTAAACTAACTAAATTTAGAAAGTGGCCTATTGCAATTCATATTCAAAAACCAAAAATGATCAATTAATTTCATAATTTAAACCAATATTTTATCAAATTAAACTTGATAAAAACACAAATCACATAATAACATAAAACAACAATTCCAATTCCAACTCCAAATTCAAATTCAAAATCCCTAATTAGAAAATAAACTCACAAACCTGACGATTAGGGCAACGAAAGAACTTCCGACCGCGATTACGCTCCGTATTAGCAGTAAGAACCAAGCAACTCCCCATCCCACAAGGACACGCCTTCTCAACCCCCACCACCGCCATTGACGACGGAGCAACCGACCCATAATTCACCCCAAACGACGTCGTTTGAGGACAATCCCTAGCCCAGTGACCTTCCACTCCACACTTGAAACAAGCACCACCACCTCCGCCTCCTCCGCCGCCTACGCCACCTCCGCCGCCGCCTACGGTGGTTGTAACAGTCGACTGAGTGGCTCGGCTAATCTGCTGGTGTTTCTGCCATGTGAGACTCTTGCTTCCTTTGAGAGCAGCAGTGTAAGCTCCTTCTTCTTCGATTACTTCACCGAATAATGGTTTCGGATTTTCCGATTTCGGTGTTGTATCGACGGCGATGCGGCGGCGTTTGGAGTAGGAGGAGAGTAAGAGGGCTTGAGCTTCCGCTGCATCCAGTTGACATAGGAATTCTATGTCTTCTTCTTCTTCTGGGATTTGGATTATCGGAGTTCTGGAGTTCGCCATTGTTGTTCTTGGTTGAAACCTTGAAGAAGGCGAAGAACACGATACTTTCTCTCTCTTCTTCTTTTTCCCGCCTTTTTAATGGACGTGAATCGTGATTATCAAAAACTGAATGTGATTAGTGTAGTCGTTTGCAATTCATTTACCCGCGTTTTAATCTTAATACAATTTTTTTTTTTTTTTTGAAAACATCTTTATACAATTTTAAAACATTAATCTAATAATTTACGGAGCAAATTAGATTAATCTTAACCGCACGTTTTCTGTGCGATCAAAGAACCTATTATGTAAACCCGAGTGAACTGTACATCTGGGGTTATTTGCTCATTCAATTAAGGAAATTTTGCAAAGAATTATCATATAAATAACTAGTTTTGAGAAGAACTACTATTTAAAACTTTTTTATAAAAAAAAATAAAAAAAAAAAAACTACAAATACATAAAAAGTTTGAATAGCACTACCTTATCAAGTTCTCTGACTAGAATCTTCATAATTTTAGGATGGACGTTCTAACTGATGGGCCCCATAGCTGGAGATTATAACCTGTTCCTATCAACCTTCCAGTTGTTGCAATCCTAATACTAATACTAATATTATAAATAATACATAGTAAATCAAAATAATGAAAAGAATAAATTATTATAGAAAAAAGATATGGGCGGTATATGTATAAGAAGCTAAAAATAGAAAGAATTGACAATAAATAAACATTTATTACACCAATTTATTGGTCGTGTTTATAAATTCTCAACTTAACACTAAAAAGGAAGTATATTAAATGCTTATATACACCTATTTGGGCTGCATCCTGCATATAGCATTACCCATTATAATAATATACTTGTATAAGTCCTAATATTTTTATTTTTATTAAATAAATTGAGAGAGGCAAGTTAGAAAATGGAAAAGGCCCCACCTCTAGTTTTACATCGTGAAAATAGCATCTAGCCATCTGAAAGAGAGAAACTATGAAAGCATGCATAAGGGAAAAAGAAGCAAATACTTTCGATTTTCAATTTGGCATACATGTTGTGCAAGACAAGGAAGAGATTGCTCATTTTCAACGTGTCAATTTACCCTATTTTGGATTTAAAATCTTGTGCTATGAGAATTAATATCTTCTTTTAAAAAAATAAAATTTACTAGTCAAATTAACATACAGTGGGCGAATTTAACAACAGTTTTTGGAGTAAACTTATATGCTTTGATCAAATGAAAACTCTAAATAATTAATTTATTGTATTTGGTAAATTAGTAGTGAATAATTGTTTTTAGCTTGTGAGGTAGAGTTGTACAAAAGCTTTTGAAGTAGGGAGATATCAAAAGCTAATTAAAATTTCATTAAATTACCAATAATTTAACAATGTGTAACAAATCACTAATTTGTATTGAGCAAATTCACCAAATAATAGCTCATTAAACAGTTTACAAAGTTACTTATAATAATTAATAATTGATAGATACCGTCTACATTCACAAGAATCACAACTAACATCTACTTACACAACTACCAACTAGTGCAAGGCTACAACAACGGATTTTACCGAATATGTCGCATAGGTAGAAAAAAAAAATCCGAAATATCTCGAATAGCATTCTCCTTTTGGAAAATTATAAATATCCAACCAATAAAATTGACAAAAAGAACTTAAAAGTATTCATTTTTGAGTAGTAGTATAATGTAATAAACAATTGCTAAACAACGTGTAGCTCATGCCCAAATTAAAACCTATCTTCCAATTTCCAAACCTTCATTTTGACGTAATTCTTTTTTTGCACTTAGCATTAACTTTTTCTCTTTGATTCAATTTTCTTGTTTAGCTAAACAAAGCTTTGAACAACCACTTGTTTTACACAAATGTTTGTATAATATATTCACTTCTTCCTTCACCTTATTTTGTATTCCAAGCTAATAACTTTCTCTACAATTTCTCTCTCTAAAAGTGCATTTTTTTTCTATAATGGGAAGGATTCATGGAAATCACTTGGATCTAAGCTTGCTTCATTCACCAGCTTTTTCTTCTAATTCTTGGCATGATTTCAAGTAAGTTCTACTTCAAATTCTTTTCTTGGATTTGATTACTAAATAAGTTAACGCGCATAATTAATGACATACATTGATACAACTCACAAATCTATGTCACTTACGTGACTGTGATTCATTACCATTGTTGTAAAAAATTGTGTTTGATGAAGTGTTGTACAAACAATTCATATGTTAGTATGAAAGAAGATGAGAAGGATCAACAGATGACGATATTCTACAATGGCCGTATTTGTGTTTTGGATGCAACCGAATTACAGGTACAGAATTTAGTTCAATAGTACATGCAGTACTTACCTTCTTTTAGAGAACAAAGTTATTCCTAATGGCTCAATTGTGGACTTGTGGTGTAACCATTCACATGTACGCAGGCAAGAGCAATTTTATGGTCAGCAACACACGACGTAGAGACAATGGTGAGGACGATGTCTGGAATCGGAGCAAACATGGCCACATTCTTCCTAAATCTTCAACTTCATGGCCTTCCAGGGTGCTCAATAAAGAGATCGTTAAGATTATTTCTCCAACAAAAGAGAAAGATAAGGAGCCAAGCTAATACTCCGTATCCCTACCGTCTCCAATCACACAACCTTCGGCCTTTTCGCCTTCTGTAGGGGACTATACAACTATGTGAAACCGTTTAGTTTTTCAGATTTTGGATACTCATCCTAATATCAGATACCAAATTTCAATACAACTATGCTGTTGATTTGAGTAACATAATACGAAGTACATTTGTACCAAAACTTGTACCTCTATACTAGTTCATTGTTTATCAAAATTGATTAGTAGTTTCGAAATTTGGGTTGAAATTTAGAAGAAAAAGGTACCCTTAGCCAGAATTGTAAACTCCTATCAAAGGAGAAATATACTCCGTAGATGGGAGAAAAAGAGAGCAATCCAATATTGGTTGAAGAGGAAGGCCATAGTATCAAAACTCGAGAGTCCAAGGATTAGCTTGTATTTGAGACCTTCATGCATAGTCTCCAGCTTACGGCCAACATTCGCATGTTTTTGGTTCATCTAAACTGATAAAAGTCCTTAACAAAAATTGCACCAAGTATGACACTATAATCGCCCCACCAAAGCATCAACACCCCCACCCCCGAAAAAAAATGAAAAGAAAAATGAGAAAGAGATACTAACATCTTAACTTCTCAAGTCTACCTGAATGTGAACTCTGCTGCACATTAATGAATATAATATATGGAAGCTTTTAATGGAGCAGGTGATTCTCTGACAATAAGCACCTGCAAATATTAATTAAGCTTCTGACAACAAACATACTAGCTACAACAATAATACAATGATGGAAGTGTTGAAGTTACATCTGCAATACTGCCCTGCAGAGAGGAAGTCGCGTGACTCGCCCAACAGTACAGTTCAGGGACATCACACAGGATAATTTACAATGTTCTGCCAGTCGCGTTATGCGCTATTACCTTAAAATTAGCTGATAAACATTCAGTTCGATTCCACATAAGCCCAGTTGGATAATGAAATAGGGAGTTCCGGGCTAAGGGCGAAGATACACATTTTAGGCATCTGCTTGTAAGCCACCTTATCCGAGCTCGATGGTTTTCATATAGGTCGTACATCCTCAGCAATTGGCACCAGTCATCAGTAATCAAGAGAGGTTACAGATGCCATCCCATTGCTATTATGTCTCAAGTCCTGTTGAAGTGTGTAGTCATCACAGCTGTTGAAGCTGTTTTGGTGCTTGGGCCTTATCGAATTTGGAAATTCAAGGCCATCTTTGCCCATCTGCTGCACTTCTTGAGGGGATAGGATCTTGATGTACCACACATTGTTTACGAACTCCCTAAAAAAGGAATTGCATTGTTTGGTTAAACAGATGAATCAAGTAAACATAAAATCATGAAATACACCATACATAGATGAGAATGTAACCACCAAGGCACTATTCTCGTGTTTTCTTTCATGCAATTACTGATTATTTATGATTAAATTGGGTTTTGATGATGAAAACTAAGTTTTGCTGATTATATGATTTGTACTGAATATTTTTTATTTGAAGTTGAAGAGAAAATCAGCTATTGTGTGAGCTAGCATATCCTCACAAGTTGCACAAAAATTTAAAAGCATATTATATCCTAAAAAAAGTTGATATCCACACGAGGATTTAAGCCAAGTTGCAAGTTCATTTGCATTTGCATTTCCAAACACAAAAAGAAAAGAAAAAAGAAACAAGTTAAGCCTTCCCTTTCTTGCCTCGCCCATGTGGTTCAGGGAGACTATTTTTGTTGATCATGTTCGAAAAAACAACTATTGAAAGAGGATTTTACCAGGGAACAATGGGCCAAAAATATTCAGCCAATGGGAATTTCTCAAAAAAGATTAAGAACTTACTGCCAGGGGTCATCACCAAGCAGGAGAACGTCATTCTCACGGTCAACAAATACAAGCTGCCAGCCTGATCTCAGGGGATCCTCCAGTTGGCCTTCTAAGCCAAACAAATGAGCAAGTTCACTGCGCAGTTCATGATAACTGCTAAATTTAGATATATCCAGTGATCGCCCAAGGGACCCCGATTTCTGAACCTGTCACACAAGAACTTTATAAGTCCCGATAAACAAACAAGATTATAGTTGCTTGCAAGTAACTAAAGTATGTGACAAAGTAGTAATGAGAAGTGGTAATGAGGCTAGTGCCTATCTAAAAAGCAACACAGCTAGAAGAAAGTTCAGAATTTTTTCCATTTATCCAGACATAGGTCTCACACCATGGCCAAGCAAGCTAATCTCCATAAATATCCTCTTAACTCTTCCAAAACTATCAAAATACATGCAAGTAAATCCCAAAAGATGCTAGACATGCCCACTGTACCTCAAGTGTCAAAAGCCTCAACCAATTCATTTTCAAGTGTATTTTTTTCATGTATCTTAAAACTGGCTCGTGAATTGAATCTTATTCTAAACCAACAACTTCTGGACAGAGCCCCAAATTCATTTCTGAAACAGCCGAAAATATATTCTCAAGGTTCTCATTTAGTTGATAGATAAGAAGCATTAAGGTTATAGAGGAGCAGGATTGAAGGAGATGCAATGTAAATCTCCTATAATTCCCTTCTTTCCCCTTCCTCTTTTCTTTCTTTTGACTTCACGTATGCTCTCTTCAAAATCTTATTTACAGAAATCATAACAGTCATTGGCCATCATTTATAGCATCTCCTATAGGCTATAGTCTAGCATGTATAAGTGTAAAAGAACAGCTTTAAATTCAGAGGCTACAGTACAAAAGGTCATTAGTTACACGATTAAAAAATTCCAAGACTAAAAGACTCACCTTTACAAAGGTTCCACTAGGTGGGTTCGCTTGATCATCATTTTCCGATGACTGCAAGAACCCTGATTCATCAACACAACTAGCAGTCATCATATCAGAAGCAGGTGAAAAATCAGTCCCAGCAGCACTTGGAAAACTGGAACAAGCAAATGGCATGGACAATGAGTCATTCTCATTGTTACTACTTCTGAGGTTCACCAGCTCATTCTGCTGAGCATTCACCCCAAATAACATATTGTTCTGTGTATCACCAATCCCTTGGTAGATAGAAAATTCCCTACCGGGCAAAGGTGGTAACAAAGAAGAGAGATCAGAAATCCTAGTTTGTGGCCCTCCTAACTCTTCAACTTGAGGCAACGAGCACGGGGCAGTACTAGAAGAAAGCTGAGGAGGTTCAACTACAACTCGCTTCGATAATAAGGGAGTAGAAGATACCAAAGGGTTAGAGTTGGGTAGATTAATTTGTCGGGATCCCCCATCGTGTGAGAATGAATTCAATAAACTATGCATCGGAGAAATGCCAGCTGCAGTAACAGAGTTCATGATCGAGTTCGAGAACATTTGCTGCGAGCATGCAGAAGAAATTGCTTCCAAGGATGTAGGCAAGGCCTGAGTTGATGACCCAAACGAAGGAGACTTGCTGTTGCCAATAACCTTTGGAATTTGTTGATCAGAAAACTGACTTCGTAGTTGCTCAAAGTGTGGAAGCTGCTGTTGTTGTTGCTGCTGCTGATGCTGTTGCTGTTGCTGTTGCTGATGCTGCTGCTGCTGCTGCTGCTGCTGCTGCTGATGGTTATCATATGCACGGGAATTTTGCAGTTGTTGCTGCAGGAGCTGACCTTGAACTTGATTGTGAGTCACATTTTGGTTTTCTTGAAAGTTTGGGACTAAGTTCTGCTGTGATTGAGCTTGCTGCAACAAATGATTTGTTAGAGATGACTGCTGGCAAGACACATTTTGATTTGGCTGGAATTGGAGAAGAGATTGGTTAGGACGCTTCTCCAAGCCCCGTGGATCTTGTAAAGCAGCAGATGCCATTGTTTGAAATATATCAGGTTGTAGGCCCAACATAGCAGGGTCCAGCCTTGGTTGCATCCAGGGTGTGAGCCCATAACCTTGGAAATTTAAGGATGACATGCAACGATCTCCAACCTCTCTCTGGAGCCACATAAGCGGAGAATTGAGGCCCATGTCACCATCCTTCAAAACTAACCATGAAAATACAGAGAAAAAGAAAGTTGAAAAGAGTAGGTGCACAGACAAGAGCAGAGAAAAGAAGAGTTAGTTTCTGATACACAAATCAAACAGACAATTACAGCCAAGCTAAAAGCAGATGAACCAACCTGGAAAGGATGGCAGACCAGATGGCCATGGACGCTTCAGTCTTAGTGGAAATGGAGAGGGATACATAGGAAACGTAGTCAAAGGTTCAATCTCCCATAAAGAGACCCGGGGCTGCCTTTCTCCAGCAGTGGACTCATCCCAGCCAACCTGTATGTACAGAACTTTTCAGTGAATAATGTTTTTAATGTTCTCACATCTCAGACCAGTTTCCTATAATATACTACCTCCTTTTTAGTTGACACGGTGACATCTTTCTCTTTTCACGCTTGCCAATGCACTATTTTAACGCTCAATATCTCTAAATCTCGACATTATAAAATTATAAAAAATGGTTTTTAATAAAATATACATTGAGTCGATTCAAACAAGATCCCACTTGACTATGTTTTATCATAGATTATAAACCACAAAAGCTAGTCAAAGTATAGTTAGTGAATAGTGTAAAAGTCAAATAGTGTCAACTAAAAAAAATAGAGGTAGTATTAGATACAGACCAGGTCAGATCCAAATAGAAAAGCACACAAGTAATCAGTTAATATGTATCAGTAGTACCCACACCACAAAGTGTAACACTAATACCCCCAATGCTAAAGCAGAGAACTAAAGATCTAGAATACACATATTACTTGCAGAGGTGATAAAATTGCTTAATACTTCGTATAATCTAAAAGGAAGGAAGTGACAAGACTAGACATACCTTCACTGAACGCCAATGGGAGTTTGGCCAACGAACAGGATCCAAGTCACTAATCCCCGTAATTGTGCCCATATACCTACATCGCAAAGATGTCAATGGAAAAGTGATGTCAATCCAACAATCCATCTCACAATCTTATCTGGAAAAACAAATTGCAACACAAGAATCTGAATTCATTTTAATCCAGGAAGACGGCTTTGTGGAAAAGGGGAAAAAAAATTACTTTTGGGTTTGCCACAAATTTTAAGGATTAAGCTGACCCCAAATCATTTTGGACTAAGGCTTTGTTGTTGTATCTGTATTTTGTGAATAGAAAATTTAATACTTCCTCCGTTTCTTTTTAGTTGACACGTTTGCCAATGCACAAATAAAATCATGAATATCTTTAATTACCGATAAGCAAAAATTATGAAAAGTTGTTTTTTTGAAAATATATATCATGACGAATCTAACAAGATCCCACATGACCATATTTTTCATTACGTATAAAGCACAAAACGCAGTCAAAGGAAGAGTGTAAGTAGTGCTAAAGTCAAAACGTGTCAACTAAAAAAAACAGAGGTAGTAAATGACTGTAGAGAGGAAAAGGGTTGATGCGACAGTGAGGAGGAAAAGTTAATGTGAAGCAAAAGTGTGAATTATTCTTGTAACAGCCCAAAATAGGAAATAGTGGATAATTGTGAGACAGAGGAAACAAGTGGTAGATCCCGGCCCTTCCTACGCATCCCACCCAAACAGAAAATATGGAACTCATCAATGATTTTCTTTCCACCAGCCACTAAGACTTAGCAAACAGTCTTTAAAAAAACAGTTTGAAAGTTTTAACAACTGAAATACCAAACAACTCTACATATGAGCCTTCTACACATCAAGTACCATAAACCCAGAGGTCTCATGAGAAGTTCAGTTATAAAGTCACAACAATCTGTCTGCTTTAATAAAGATACATCCTATAATACTTCTTTCGTTATTAACTTGTGTGAAAATTTTCACCTCTATCTGTACGACTGTACCTTCTCTATTATCCACTGAACTCACCATCTTATCTCAACAAACCATAAAAAATTTTCATGAAATGGCAGCCTAACTATGGCTTTTGAATCAGCAGCCTTTAAAACAGAACCTCTATACAATTGTAGTCTTGCAGAAATACAGATGCATACATCTAAATCCTCTGCTCACTCCATATACCTTAAATAACTTTCCACATGGAAAATTTGTGACAGCTGCCAGAGTATATAGTATTCAGAGCAGTATTAGTGACTATACACTATTTAGTCTCCTTAACCCCCCAAAAAAGGGACCGCAATAACCAACGACAATGGGCAACTGGTAAGTACTCCCAAGTTTCAACAATGTCCATTTATCTTGAATCAATGTACAGTAGCAGAGAAAATTATAAAATTGCCCATAAGATCAAGTTGATGAGTTTATTGAAGATCACTTTGGAATGATTGTTCCTTCAAATTTCAAGAAACAGATTATGCTATTCTTTGTAATAAATCCTTCAAGAGTATCTGATAATGACCAATAACTTTATAAATGAGACCATAGATCATGTTGCATGAAGTGTTACTGTGTTAGCCCCATAAAAGTTTTTTTTTTTTTTTGTTGGGTCATAATTAGCATTCCATTCAATATTTAAACTGAAGTGCTTTATTGTCCAACTTGAATTGAGTTTTGGGCTATTCTTTATGATGAAAAATTTAGTGCGTGAGACTTAGGATCTTTGACGAGGCAATTAACAAGGCAAATTATAGTGTGTGTGTCTTTGAATTTGCCAGAAATAATCATCCAGGCTATGCACATACCTGCGAACACTTGATTCTTCTGTTTCAAACAGCATCCGAAATCGCATGCCGACAGAGACACGGGTATGGTAGACAGCTTTGACATACTTCGCTAACGGAACCACAAATTCAGAAGGGCTAGCCCTGGCGGATTACAAGAAAGAATTTATTTTACCAATCAAGCGCGTCAACAATTCTATGAGATGTTTGTAAAAGTACAAGCTTATACCTGGGATTAAAAAATACAGTGAAACGGCTGTTTGTAGAAGCTGCGTGAGCCGCTGCAGCAAGAAGACCTATATGCATGCTATCACTTGATAATACTGATGAAGGCATCACAGTTTGTGGACGATTAGCACGCCGAATGCCAAGGAGTAACTGATTCTTCTCATTCCTGATGGAGAACACCATATGATAATCAACAAAAATGTATTATAGCTTGCATACGTGGCAATAGAAAGCTTCATTCGGAAGCAGTTCATGAATATATGTTTCTCAAAGAAAAATTCCTAGGCACCAGCTTTACTGGGACCAAAAAATGAGCCACTGAAAGTGTTACTTGAGCCTTAACATTTTTGATTAAGGCTTTGGTTGATTGATTGATTGATTTTATCAATTTTGAATGCCAAAAGATAACTGAACAAAGTGCACATAAAAATTAGAAATGGGCCAAGAAGATGCACTTACCAAATGAAGATGACAGAATCCCCAGCAACTAGTCTTTTAGCGCTGACAAAGACACTCCATCCAGTGGTAAGAAGGTGCCTCTTAGGCTGCCCTGCATTGACAAGTCAACATTCAAAGATGAAATCAGGCCATGTTTTGATGTATTAGTGTTTTACCAGACATCGAAAGGAATTCACTTGCTTCAATGATCAAATTTTTTGCAAATCTGGTCCACACGTACAATCCATTATTCATGCTTGATGAGTTGATGCCAACCAATTTATACTGCAATTCTACAACACATGACAACTAGTGGTTTAACTAATGACAACACATGTATGTTACTCTAACTTCAGTCTAATGTTGGACATGAATGCTTGTAGCTTGTAAGGGTCAGATTAGGCTATTTCATGAAATTTTTCATGATTTTGGGCCAACTGATGAGTCAAGTGTCCACTTGAGGTGAAATGAAGGGTCCAAATAACATAGACATTAGGATCCAACAATGCCATCTCCATGGGATCACTGAAAGAAAAAACCAATCTCTTTATACTAGACTACAACTATCTGCCACTGATAGCATCTGGAAGTCAAGGCATATATGCTTACCCCGAAAGATGTGTCTAAATTTCCACTCATTATCATGCAGATCCCTAGCAATCAATTCTTGAGCAGGAGGTTGCTGGGTGTAATCCTGTCAAATGTCAGATTGATAATTAACATTGATGCGCAGAGTAAACAAGCAAAGAGGAGACTAACAAGCCAGATTACTATAGAACAACACTTACAAGGGGAGGAAAGACTTTTTCAGCTGCCCTACGAGGAACAGAAAATCCTCCATGAGTACTAGTGTCACTTGCAGTCAATGTTTTACAGAAATAATTAGTTGGCTGTTTGCTGGGAGTGCCCAATTCTGCAGGTAGGAGACAGACATCTTTTTGCTCTTGCTACAAAAATAACAATTCTTTTACCAACTACCAGTGCAGAGAAACATAAAAACAGAAATTTCAACATGTTAAACAGAAAACAAAATACCAGAGTCAAGGGTTGCAAGGTCATCTGAGCATATACTTCATCTGTCTCCACATCTGCCTGTAATCATAAATATGAAGCTTAGAAGCAGCTGGCACGAATAATTATATGTTAAGTACCTAATAAAAAGCACTTACATGCATGGTCACATCATGAAGCTGACAAATAAGTTGGGCAGGCAAGCTAGGATAATTAGGAATATGAGCATCTACTTCTTTGTTAGTTGAAGCTGCAACCTGCAAATACTTCCAAATATTGTCAGACAAAATCAGCAGTCAGACCAAATCAGCAAAGCGATTAATATTGCATTTTTTTGAGAAAGCTAACATATAATTTGTATATTGTAATTCCCCTAATAATATCATCCTCTTCCCCCACGCCTTAAAAAATTGATAATATAAGATAAGGAATATTCAGCAACAGCATGTAGGATGATATAATTACTATGATGTACAGCAGAAGCAAAACCTAAATATTTAAGTTTCAGCATCCATTTAGCAACAAAGTAGAGGACTACTGAAAATTCAAATCCAGGGACCAGACCGTGTGCCCTTGAAGTAGTAGCAGATAATAAGACATTCAGCATAACCTTAATGCAACAATTTTGTAGCTTTATTGTTTCAGAAGGTGAAATGGAGGGCCTTTTTTTAGTTATTATCCACATCTCCAAGTAGGGGACATTGGAAGAAGGAAGGAGAATACAAATGTATAGAAATAAGACCAAGGAAAAAGAACCCATAATGGTTTTTCAGATCTTATGCCAAGATGAATAATAATATCAAACATCTTACAACGACTAACCTGCTCACTATGACCCTGAGGAAAATATACAACACGGCTTCCCACAGGGGGCAAGGAGACTAAAGGACCAGCGCATGCATGCCATAGTTCTGAATTCAAAACTTTCTTCTCGCCTGAAAATAAAATTTTGGCCAAAGGTCAGATGCAATGAAAGATGCATTGCTTCATAACTAGCAGAGACAGCAAAAAGGCACGTACATAGTTACATCAGCCACAATTGGTGATTCTACTAACTGAAGATAAACCAAGAAGAGTTCGTGATATAGGAAGAAACAACTTTTTGACATCTACCAAAAGAAGTAGCATAAGTCTTGGGCAGATTGCGGGTGCATTGTAAAGGTTATTTAGCATACCGTGGCCTCGATGACAGCCAGTCAGCCAGGAACCATCAACAAAAGTGGTTCAGCAACTGCTATCATTTGCATTCTGCCTATTTTCAACTTCCTATCACTATAAAGCAAAGGAGACCTAAACCATACCCTTAATATGATGGGGAACGGAAGCTAAAAGAATGAACACATGCTGTCCAAAGGCTTTGAATCCTCTAAAGGTCAAAATGCTGGTTTCTTTACGAAATATCTACTTGTTCATCAGAATTGGCAACAAAATCTAATCCCTTATCCAGCTAAGAGATTATGAATATAACTAGAAATTAAGGCAACAAAATCTAATCATTTATCAACTGCAATGAGTCTCACATAAAGAGTGACAATGCTAAATATTTACACCTCATAGATTAGCAGCTATAACACAAACAAGCTCCTTAATTTGCCAGCAATCATCCCCTAGCCCAAATTTCGCTCCTCCATTACAATTTACAAATTACATAAATCTAGTGCAATCAGCCTGACAGCAAGTGAAAACACCTCAAACTTAAATATTCCAGCAACACAAACCCGACAAAGCAAAAACAACAACACTACACATTTAAGGCTTAGTTGAAGCTACTAACAATAGTAAGTAGCAAATACTCTACTCAATTTTCTTTCATCACTTGATAATTATCTATACAAATTGCAAAGCATGAAAACTTCAAAAAACACTACAAAAATTAAAGGAAAACAAGAAATCAGCTTACCTTCCTCAGGTTGATGAGGGAAAGCTGAAGGTGACAACCTCATTTTGCAAAATCAATCAAAAAAAACCCAAAAAATAGGGGAAATTTTTTGAAAAAAAAAATAAAAATAATAAAAAAAAAAACTAAATTCTTCCCTCCACCACCCCCACCCCCCCCTCCAAAAACCCACCTAAAATTCCCCAAAAAAGGGCAATAAAATGATTTCAACCAAACCCAGTTCCACTGCAAAAATCCACCCTTCTCTGCTTCATGCGCCTCAGATCTTTCACTCCCACCCACCAAAATCAAAAACCCAGAAAAATGAAGCTTCTTCAGCAACTCAACAACCTCTAAAAATGGTGAAAACTTCACTCCAACAAAAAACCCATTTTTCAGCAAAGCTCAGCTAACTAGGGTTTGAACTCGATTACCCCCAAAAAGCTTCTAGTTAGATCTCTAAGTTGGAGGATGAGAGAGAAAATGGTAGAACAAACTCCCAACTTGGTGATTGATTGATTGAAGCTGGTATGAAAGTTTAAGCAAGAGTACAATCTTTGGTAGATCTTTTGGGAAGTTTTTCGGACAGCCAAACCCAGTAAAAGAGCAAGAAGAGAAAAGGAAAAGGGTAATGAAGGAATGGAAGAAGAGGAAAGTGTGCTACTCTAGAGCTTACTTTGGGTTAGCCCATTATTATTGTTATCATTTGTACTCTTTTTCTATAGTCCTCTTGCCAATTGCCCACCCCCATCCCAAGGTTACATGAATAGTTTGAGTTACCAAATGTGTATTCATCACAACTTGCTTCATGGATCGATGCATGTCCTAATACCGCGTTCTCGCGTCATTTAGGTGTATCATGGGTAGGGTGGTCGTCCATTCTAAACTTGTTAGCTTCCTGGAAAAAGTAAACCTTTTTATTACGACTAATGGAATGTCGTTGGCTTTATAAAAAAATAAAATAATAAGTAGTTTCGCTCATTCCAATCCAAATTCATCATATTTGATAACAAATTATGAAAATAAATATAGTTGATGTTTTGAATATAGCTATTGTTTACAACAAGGGCGAAAGTAATTGTTTCTATATATAATTAAAAATAAGAAGAAAGGAGTAGTTTAATTCACTAAAATTATTTTAGTAATCTAAAACATCCTTTACTTCCACCTCCTCACAAGCAAAACTATAAATACTCTATTTTTCATACTTATAATTTAATGGCCTAAAGTAATAACACCCCTAGCAAACAAAACTCTAAAACTTTGTTCACTTCACCTTTAAAAATACAATATTTAGTAAAAATAATTTTAATTCAGTAAAATTAATTTCAGTTCAGTAAATAAGTTCAGTTTAGAAAAAGTAATTTCAAAGAAGAAATATTATAGAGAATCAATAAAATTAAATTTAGTTCACTAAAAATAATTTAAATTCAGCAAAAATAATTTTAGTTTTTTTTTTTTGAGGGGAAAAGCAGCAATTAATTAATAATTAAACGGTTAACAGAGTTTACAAAAGGCTACCTGACATGGCACAAAGGTACATCCTGGGGATCATTTAGAGAAATTACATTAGCAGAATCTAAATCTAATTGTTTAATACAGACTGCAAGAGGAATTAGTAAGATACAAGTCTGATTCAAAATAGTTAGATTTTTCCTTGCTTCCTTAGCCAGAATGTCAGCCACCGCATTCTTTCCTCTCTCCCCATAGAAAAGCTTGACCTCAGGCTGCTGGAGCTGTTCCCTCCATGAATTTATGTTTGGGGTTAGCACAGTATAGTGTCTATTGTTGATTTCTTCCACAATTGTTTTGCAATCAGTTTCCAGATGGCAATTCCCCCATCCTTTCCCTAGCAGCCATTAAAGTGCTAATACTATAGCCTTGAGTTCAGCATCTTTTGGAGATGGGCAGTACCCTTTCCATTGGAAGGCTTCTATCCAGTTGCCTTTATTATTTCTGCAAACACCTACACAGCCAGCTATTTTGGAGTTTGGAAGGATAGATGCGTCTACATTTATTTTGACAAAAGTTTGAGGGGGAGGATCCCAAGCATCTGTCAGGGGCTTTAATCTAACCGAGTGGTATGTGGAGTAATACCATTCAGCAGCAGCTCAAGTGCATTGGGATGTAGATGTTTGGATGGGCGAATTGGAGCTGGAGAAGATCCATGAGTTCCTCCTTTTCTAAATCTGCCATAGGGCAAAGGTGAAGGTGATGCTCTAAGGAGTGTTATACTGGCTGGGTTGATTGTGTTTAAGGTTCCTTAAGGTCCATGTTGTGAAGGTTTCTGCAGAGGTTTTTTTGCAGTGGTTTGAAATGGTTATGTATTCCCAGAATTCCAGTGCCCTTGGGCAGTTGAGGAATATGTGACTCGAGTTTTCTGGTACTGAAGGACAGAAGGTACAACAGGGGTTTTGAGTGCACTTCCTGGTGTTCAAATTTTTTGATGTTGGCAGTCTGTCCCACACAAGCTGCCATAAGAAGAGTTTTATTTTTGGTAGGGTGTTAACCTCCCATATACAAGACCAGTCAAAAGATGTTGTTGTAGTGTGAGGGAAATATTCTGAAAGGAGACACTCCTTAGCCGCAACTGATGGGCGTTGGAATGGTCGTACATTCCACACTCAATCAAACACATTTATTAACAAACACCTTACAAACCAAGCATAATGACAAGTAAGAGTTCGGTCCACAAGGAACGGGATATGATTGCCAAAGATCTTTACACTTAAGCTAACTCGAAGTCAATTGATGAATTGGGGTTCGTCAAGAAGACAAACAAACTATGGTTCTAAATCAATGAATTAAAGATACTAGGGAATGAGATCCACTCAACCAAGGCAAATAGGTAAACGGGGAGTAAAATAGACAAGATATAGCAAGGACTATATGTAAAATCAACCTCATGCAATTAGAAAACAACTCACACTACTAAACTTAGATTCCTCATTAGTTTAGCAATAGACGATACATAATCAAATTACAATAAGTAATGACGTACTCAATTTACACTTCCATGTCAAATTAGGCATATCATACTATCAAGCTCCTTAGTCAAGGGTAGCTAAACCTATCATGAGGAACTAACAAGCAATCTCATATAATCAATTTAATTGCAATTCAAACATCAATGCTTCTCCCACATTTGCATAGTTAACCCAAAAGGTCGAGTTTCACCCAACCCCTAGCAAGAAGACTACTCACAACTCATGTTTATCAACATGCAATCAAGAATTAGGGTTCTAAATACTTCAATAATTGGGGAAAAGTGGTTAACAATTGAAATAACTATCATCCAATAACAAATTACCAAGAACTAGGAAGATTTAAATAACATGCAAATACCAAATAAAATCTGAAATTAAAAGGAAGAAGGTTGGAGAAATTACTAATTGAAGCTTCAAATGTTGAATACAAATTGCCAAACTTTGAGAATAATTCTTGAATTTCACTAATACAATGATTTGATTTGATGAAAACTAAGCTAAATTAATCCTAAGGAATGTTTCAAACTAAGGGAGGTTTCTGAAAACTAGGCTACTGTCCTGCTTCTCCCGTCCTTTTAAAAAAATCACAAAAGGACCTTAAATAGTCCGTACAAAATTGGCTGAGATCGGGAAAAGGTCCGACCGAACTCTGGGTAAGTTCGGTCGGACTCAGGGTAGGTTCGGTCGAACCCTGTGTAGGTTCGGTCGAACCTCCCTGATCCTTGTTTGGTCGAACTTTTGAGGTTCGACCTCTCCTGCAAAATTGCTGAAAACAGGTTTGACACTGCCTTCACTGCACCCTGGAGGTTCGGTCGAACTTTTGAAAAGTTTGACCACACCAAGGTTCGACCGGACCTTCCAGAGGTTCGGCCACACCTCCTCTTGCACTTCCTTTTCTTGCTTCCTCTCCTTCCCTTTTGCTCCTCTTGCCTTTGTCCATGGCTTCCATGCTTGGCCAAGGGGCCTCCCACCGTGCATAGGACCGTCACGGAACCTGCAGAAGATACCAAAGTTCACGAGAGCATGGGGATGATAAAATAATGCATAAAGATTATCAAAATAAGCATTACTTTTCATCAACACAAAAAGAAGCCATAAGAGGATAATGAGGTGAAAACCTAAGAAAAATAAGAGGAAAAAGACCTAAATACTACCCCTAAGAGTGACATAAATGTCACTCATCAAACTCCCCCACGCTAAGCCTTTGCTCGTCCTCGAGCAAAGCAAAGGAAAAAGAACAAGGGAGAAAGAATTAGTTATTCAAACATGCAAGAAACAAAAGAAAAACCGAAATTGCTTTTAGCAAAAGCAACAAGCCATTTAAACCCCAAGGTCGCCGATGAGGACGAGTTGTGATCTCGTGAGGGTTTCCAGAGAGCATACCCCACAACTCTTACAAAATTGCGTTCAAGACAAACCAAAAACAAGGGAAAGAGAAACAACAAATCCAACACAAATCATAGCCAAATCAAGCTTTTGGAGATAACAAACATGAATGAGTGTCAAACTTTCTGAGTAGTAGAAGTGAGCATGCAAGGGGATGCCGAAAGTTGATTGAAGGATAAGTTATGCTAAGCATAGAGAACTCAAACATGCACCACTCCCCCCGCATTCCATACAATCTTACCGCGTTCCCTCATCTAGATTCAAATCCGCCCTTGGAGATAGCATCAAGTGACTCCTCGAAGGAACCGGAACAAAGATAAAACACTGCAAAATAGGGGAACCCGACATCTCACCAAGTCATGCCTTCTCTATATGCTTGAGTTCCAGCTCCCTCCACCGATTAGTGACTCAACCAACCTAGGTCAACAGGGCATTGGAAGGGTTATAACGATGGCTAGGGGGGGGGGTAAGGGTGTGGAGGAATTTGGAAATTGGTGCTTAGCCTAACCGTGAAGCAAAGGGTGATCAAGCCTCTTTTTCAAAATCAATCATCAACCAATTTTCAAACTACGTTGCCACAATCTTGAACTATAATGCCAAACACTTTTGAGCTTTCGCTTTCCTCTTACATCATCATTCATCAACCCTTCGTTTGTCACATTCTCCCTTTTTTTTTTTTTTTTTTTTTTTTTTTTTTTTTTTTTTTTTTTTTTTTTTTTTTTTTTAGCTTCAAAGGCTTTTTCTAGGATTTACATTTGCTTTTCTTGAACATATATTCACAAAAACACTGCTTTACTTTCCAAGTAGAACCATTCCCTTCCAAATTTCAAATCAAAACTACAATAAGCCCTCATGGCTTGAGCTTCACGATTCTAAGGGTGAAAGTAAAACAAAAGGGCCATGGGCTTGCAATGTGCTATAATCAAGGAGGGGAAGATTCAACATGGTAAGGGCAAATGCAACCCAAAATAGTCACCGAAGGAAGAATGCCTTTGTCATTTGTAGGTTAGTTCGGTCTCGATCTCGGGAGCCAGACGCCAAGTTCTAGATCTAAGCATGCCTTGGTGAGGATCCTACGCCGCTCATACAAGTAATGTTGGAGGCTTGAACAATAAAGCTCACATCGGGTTACAAAAACCATCTCTAGGGCTTCAAATCCCCTAATGAGAGCAACACCTTCTTACCACAAACAAGTGAATTTGGGTTCGATGGGCCTAACGAGTTCTAGAACAACTACCTTAACATGAACATGTCCCAGAGTCAACCAATGGCAATCCCGAAGCATGCAAACTTATAACACTCAAGAAGCAAAGCATTCAAACACACG